TTAACAAGTTCCCTTAGTGCCAAGTTGGTGATTTATTGGGAGTGAAAATTGCTAAAAAATACTTTTTTTTTTCGAAAAGACGAACGTAGAAAAGTACTAAATACGCCAAATGATTCACATAAACCTGCTAAAATTTTTTTTGTTTTTTTTTTTTTTTTTTTGCTTTTTTTTTTTTTTTGCTTTTTTTTTTGGCGAAGTTGATGCCCATTTTACTCAGAAGATAAAATACGCACCAGTTTCGAAATAATTTTATTTACTTCTTGATCTCAATACTTTCATCTGAAAGATGGCATACTTTACGGCGCCAGTAGTTAATATTGTTGGAGTCTGAAATTAAAGAAAATCGCCTAATTCGCCGAGTGCTCATAACAAATCAGATACTAACTAACCAAAAAAATAAAATTCCTTCCGTCGTATAAATAACTTGCCCAGGTGCAATCTAAAAATCCTATCTGTTTTCGATCTTTGACCCCTATCGAAAGCGACGTTGTAACGAATTTTCACTTCGAAATATCGTAGGTTAAGTTAAACTGACTCTAGAGAGTATTGCAAGGACAACACCAAACCTTTCCGTTTATATCTCTAAATCAAGGTGCTCAGATGATCCCTACCCAGTTGAAGAGTGTCAAAGCGACTAGATGTAACATTGATTATTGAAAGTCTTGCAGTTTCTCTCCAACTAAGATCAACAACATCTGTCTACAGAACACCGACCCACTCACAGATTACGTGCTCCTCTATATTCATAAGCTCTTGGCTCCTAGCTGAATTGTGGAGAGTAAAAATGCAACGTAGAAGCTTTTCTTGCCATCATTATAGCCTTTCTTCCCTAAGTCGGTCTGACTTCAGAAAGCCTCTGACCAAGTACAGTCAATATTAGCTCTTTCTGTAATAGATCAATGGACATGATCACGCCCTATGTAAAGGTGGTGAACTGCTTGTCCTATAAGGCTTGAGCTGCTACTGTGTAACTCCCCATCTAGGTAGGAACTGATTTGTGGTTAAGCTAAGCCTCGGCACCACGTCAAGATTGCTGCTCTCGCGCAGAGCTCAAATTTGTATAATAGTCCGCTAAAGGGACTTACGAGAAGAATAAACCCATCGAAACACATTTTACCAACTAACTGCCTTGCAAGATGATCGAGTTTAGAAAGCAACTCCCAAAATTTAGAGTCTAAATTAAAATAAAGTAATAAAAGGACGTAAAGAAACTACTTTTACACACCCCACCAGTTGTTGTTTGTGTAATTTAAGGCGTAATCAGAAATTGCCCCATTAAACAGAATTCTACCAGGCGCACATGTCCGAGAGTATGCGGCTGTCGGAGGAAAGTTCTGCAATTTCTTTAACATACTTTGAGGCGCCGGAAACCAAATCACACGCAGCAGCTTTATGTACTTTGCATTAAATTAGTGTGGGTTACCAGTCGCCCTTAGGTAGATAGATACTGTGAATTTATAGAGGGAGCATAATTTTGGGCACCGGACATAAAATACTCTCGGGAGGTTTTTACTTTACTGATACTTGAATTTATATATATATATATATCTGTCACCACCCACTGATGAACATAACGAGTAAAACGAGCTCATTTTCTTGAATTCTACCAGGCGCACATGTCACAGAGCGAGTGGTTGTTAAATTAAAATTATTTCGTTTAATTGGTATACTTTTAGGCGACGTACATAAAGTAAATGAATTTGCTTTAAATTCTGTGCAAGCTCGTTCCCTTTGATAGAACTACAGAGACGATGCTTCGCAAGGAGAGATTGACAAATTCGAGTCAGTACTTGTTCAAGGCGTTGGGGATCTTCTGTCATTCCATGATGTAACCAATGTTCTACAATCCACTAGTATTTTCGTGAAAAATTATTTATTTCTCATATCAGAAAAACCGAGAAAGCTATTTTCTCCATCTTGTTGGGTTTCTGTATCCGCGGTAAGGCATCCCTCAGCCGGTCGTAGGCGGCTTAACGGTTATGAAAGCGTTAACATTTTGTCACTTCATCTGATTTTAATGCAGAACTTATTAAATTAAAACAGATTTCGGAATATTAAAAAATTCAATTCTATGGATACTTCAATATTTCCTTAGAAGCTGCCTGATTTTTGCCCAAAGCCACCTTTTTTTTAATGCAAACGTCGTTTAATCACATATTTTACATGTGTATGTACACACCTAGAAGCCCCACACCGTTCCATCACTTTCACAAGCAAACGCACAAACAACAAAAGCACTTAAGTTGACAACCAATTAAAATTCATTTGCGACAAGGAGCTATAAAATTGGATTCTTTCGCCAATTCTTGACATGTTGTGATGTGTCTTATCAGCTGAAAATATCTCATTTTCAAAGTTAAGCCACGGCGGCGAATCGCTAAAGACCAGCGTTGATCGTGTGAAGATACACCTGAGCTTTTACATACATACATAATGCAACTCGAGGCAAAGAGTTTCCTGGAATCACAACTTAACGTTCCAGCTCATTTATCAAACATATGTCACTTGGCACCCTCAGGAGAGGGCAGAGGCAGAAGAGGCGTTGGCTGTTTCCACTTGCCACTCGCCATTGGGTTGCACTCCAGCTTGGCTACTACTACTACGCCATCCACCAGCGTGGCGATTTACACTCCGGCATTTAACGCTTTTGATCAGTTCATTATTACGCCGTCATGGTGGTCAAGTGTCATATTAGCATACATACATACAGGTATGTATGTACGTACGAACGCTTATAAGATGTCCCTTTTCATTTCATAACTTCCTTTGACAGAAACTTTCTTGCCTTAACAATTCGACGCTCATCAGCTTATCGTGACGATGATCTTGTTTTGCGCTCGCCGCTGCTGTCGTTCTTACGCTGCAGTTGCTGTACGTACATAGTTTGTATGTGTGTTTGCATATGTGTATTCAAATTTATAATAAACTGCATGTGAGCTATGTATATGTTGCTGTGTCAAATTGCCGCCACCTTACTGCGACAACGACAAATTGTTGGTAATTACAACGAAACATGTTGCATACATATATAATATTTATCGCGATCGCGATTAACATCTTGTCGCGCTTGCGCATGAAGTTGGTCAGTGGAGCGATTGCAATTTAAAGGTTGCAGATAAATTTGATATTTTTATGCATTTTTCATGCATTAAATGCGTGTCGTAAATATGGCGTGCGTGCATGTATGTATTGTAAGTTAAACATACATATATATATGCGTTTGCTTTTGGCTGCCATTAAATTGGCATATTTATCAAAAGTTTATTGTTATCAAACTAGAAAAGTGTAAATATAAGTGGAAGGGTTCTCCAAAATAAAAAAAATGTCCTGCGAAGACCATAATAAATATTTTTTTTAATTCTTTTAAATTTGAATTTAAACCTTCTAGTTTGTTTTCTAATTTTTTCCCCAATTTAATTTCGGTTTTTCCATTTTTAATTATTTTTTTCGGCTCTAGCATATTTTTTCTTGATACATATATTGTAATTTTTTTAAGTTTTCTGTTTGTTTATTATTTTTTTTAATTTTCGAAATTTTTTATTTGTTTTAAATTAATTTTCAATTTATATTGTTTTTTTTTGTTTTTTCTTTTTATTTTTTTTCTTTTTATTTTTTTTCTTTTTTTTTTTTTTTTTTCTTTTTATTTTTTTTCTTTTTATTTTTTTTCTTTTTATTTTATTTTTTTCTTTTTATTTTTTTTCTTTTTATTTTTTTTTCTTTTTATTTTTTTTTTTCTTTTTATTTTTTTCTTTTTATTTTTTTTTTCTTTTTATTTTTTTTTTCTTTTTATTTTTTTTTCTTTTTATTTTTTTTTCTTTTTATTTTTTTTTATTATAATTTTTTTCTTTTTATTTTTTTCGTTTTATTTTTTGTTTAATATTTTTTAAACTTATAATTTATTTCTTTTTAATTTGTACATTGTTTTTTAAATTTCTTAATTTTTTCTACTTATATTTTCTTTTTTAATTTCATTTATTTTTTCAATTTGTTTGTTTTTTTTCAATTTATTTATTTTTTCAATTTTTTTGTTTGTTTTTTTTTCATTTTATTTATTTTTTCAATTTGTTTGTTTGTTTTTTTTTTTTAATTTTATCATATTTTCAATTTGTTTGTTTTTTTTTAATTTACTTTAAATTTTTCCTCCTTTTTCAATTCATTTTAAATTGTTTCTACTTTTTAATTTAATCAATCGTTATTTGTAAAAATAGTTTTTTGTAATATTTTAATTATTTCATAATTTTTAAATTTTTTTGTAAATGTACTTATTTAACTTTTATATGCATACTTTATTTTTTTTTTTGAATCTTTGGTCCTTTTTTACTTTTTCATACTAATTTTTTAACTTTTTTTGTAGTTTTTTTTTAACCATTTTGTGTGTTTGATGGTTTTTTTATTATTGATTTTTTTTGTATTCAATATTTTCAACCCTTTTTTAATTTTTTTTTGGTTTGGCTTTCATTTTTATATCTTTTAATTTTTTTATTTTGGTTTGCTTTATTTTATAAGTAATTTGTTCTACATTAATTTAAAAATGTACTATCTACACAAATTAAAATTCTTTGTAGCAAAAATTTGAAGCTAATGAGACAAAAGAAATTTTCGAAAGTTTTCTATCAAAAAATAAAAATAATAATAAATTGAGGTTATAATTTTCTTAATCCTAATTTTTTATTGAAATCTTTATATTAGTATATACCCACATACATTATTTTTTTTAATAATGATATAAAATATACATTTGTTTGTTTTAAAAAATTAACCACTTCTTCATTATGCAATTTCTTTACTTAATTTATTTATACTTAATTATTTCTCAATACATTTTAATATATTGAATTAAGTATGAATAACTAATAAATAAAATTTCATAAAAGTTAAGTGTATTTTGAAAATTTAAACGACAGACAAAATTTAAAATTTTTAACAAAATATTTCGTCTAGTTTCAGCAATAAAAATATTAAAAATTCGACATAATATTTTTTTATCAATCTACAGTCATCAAGTAAATGTGTATGTACATATATATGTAAATATTCTTTTGCTCTACTTAATAATGATTATTATTTGTCGGCATATGTCGGTATGTATACCCATTTTAATTTAGAGTAAAAAAAATGTTGAGCCTAAATGTATGCTATTCACGTTGAAATGGTCGATTTCGGTATGCACTCGTATGAGGTCTGGACTCGTCAAATCGTGGCTTCTGGTATCCAGAGGACCTCGACGCGTCAAATCGTGACTTCTGGCTAGCAGAGGACCTCGACTCATCAAACCGGGACTTCCGGTATGCAGAGGATCTCGACTCTTCGACACGCGGTTTTTGGTATGGATGAGGTCTGTACTGCCTCCGATCTACAAATCGATTATCCACTTTGTAATGATTACGATTTGGCTGCTCATCATATCTGTGGCTCTCATAGGCATGCGCTACAAATTGGTTATTAGTAGTGTTAATTGTATGATAATTATTATGATTTGAATTGTTTTGAGGAAAATTCGAGGCAACTAAAGAGGATAATTAAAAAATATATTAGTTTTCTATGCGTTTGTGGCGTGTGCGACGTCCTAATCACCTTGCGACCTGCTTCCATTTACATATCGACTACTATAATTGCGATTATTGCCACCTGACCGATTAAAAGTATTATTATTTTCGAATCTTTGAGGCGGAGGTCGTGTAGTATGTTGTCGCTGCGCATTTGATTCCTGACGAAAACGTTCGAAGCGATCGCGCTTATCAAACACTTGTGGCGATGGCGGCAAGGCAGGCTCAGCAAGTGTGCGCCAAGAAAGCCGTTCAGCAGGTGCCCGCCAAGAGATAGGCTCTTTGACGAGCGGCTTATCTGCCCGTACGCCAGACTGTTTCAGCTTGTTTAAATCAAGTAATGAGTCCAAATAGTTTTTGCGTTCGATTTGATGACCACGTGAAGTATTGAATTCTATTGTGAAGCGATTGAAAGAAATATGTGATTAATTTTAAACGAAAGAAATGCTTAAAAATAATTTAAAAACAAACAAAGTGTATGAATTTTCAATACAGAGCAGCGCACTTACTATCTATTGCCTCCTCCGGTTTCATATCCAGCTCAGATATCATGAAATTGCATATGAGGTAGCCAGTGCGATTGACGCCATGCGTACAGTGTACACCAATGAGTTTATCTGAAAGTACGCAAAATTTTAATTAGAAGGGAACAGCAGCAAAAATCAAATTCCATTGAAACATTACACATCAAGTAGAAGCATATGCATTTAATTATCAAGGAAGCACCACTGTTTACGCATTACGCACTTCGAACCAAACACAACATTCCACAGGCCTACAAAGTGGAAGTAAACAATTCTATTTACGCATATTCTGAAATTATTTACAAAAACACACACTTCCAGAATGTTGACGTGGAAAACACGAATTTTATATGTGCATCAGTAGAAAAATGTAGCACAAGGCAAATATTATTTGCAGTAAAAGCGACAATGTCGGCTAACAAAAGCCCAAAATGTAAGAAGCGAGTGAAAGAAATCGACCACAAAATTTTAATTTACAAAAACCAACCGCAAAAATATGTCAACACCCACACATTGAGTCACTCAAATGAATTGTTAGCCGCCGAAGTGTGGCTGATGAAGGCAAAGATGTTGTAGGAAGAGCGGGTGCGCATGCAAAAGCGGCTTAAATGACCGTGGGACACACACACACACACACATAAGTATTATATTATATATGTACATACAAGTGTGTGAAAATATGCGAACGTGTTGAAAGTCCAAGTAGTGGAAGATGCTACAGCAGCAAAAGCAAATGCGGTGCGCCTCAGCAATAATAATAGCAACAACAACAACAACAACACATATACTGTTTAACATGGGTAATAAATTTTGAAAAACATGTCAGCACAACAGCAGCATTTACACAGCGAAAAGAAACCGAGTGCTATGCGCATGCGCAGTTAACATGAGATTCGTCATGTTTGCGTAGTACGTCTGAACGTATGATGGCTAGCATTGAGCCAGCAAGGAAGACCGCAATTGCCGCCTCCACTGCAGCTGCTGCTGTGGCCATTGTAGGTTCAGTTATCGCTTTTTCAGTCGCTATTGTTTTTGCCCAACATTGATATTTTCGTTGTTGCTGCTGTATGTTGACGACAAGACCACCGCAAATGCTGATTTGTTGTTACTTGTGCTTAACTTGTTCAAATCGGTATATATGTTTGCAATAGCAATTTGTGAGTGCGTTGTTTACTTAAATTTGTGTTGATACTACTAAATTTATTGACCGCTGCAGAATTTTTCTTTGCTAATAATAATAGTAAAAAATATTTACAGACGCATGTCACTTTTTAATGAAGCCGACAAACGTTTATTTTAAACGCACCACAAATTTTTAGCGGCGCTAATTATTAGAATGAGAAATAAAGAAAATGAAATAGGAAAAAATGTAAAAATGAAAAGCCTAGAACTACTACCAATAAAAAATGAAGTATTCCTTGAACTCAAAAATTCAGTACGCACTTTTATTATCACTATGTACGTGACAACTGCAAACAATTTGCAATCCGCACTTTCATCAAGCAACTTGGAGCCCTTTGGGAAACTAGTTGTTACAGAGCTACATATGTACCATACATATGTCTTTAAAAGCCCAAGTTAATTGGTGTTAGACAGTCTTAATCGCGTGGGTTGCTGACATGAAATGGTTACATGTTCATTGTCTACCGCTTAGATGGTAGTTCATAAAATTATAAACAACTTATTTTATGCCAAAATGGGTGCACTTGCCTTTGGCTAACTAATTGGTACATGAGTCATGTGCGGAGAATGTCAATAAACGTGACTCTTTGTTTTAGCATCGCAGAGTAACAGATGCACGCTTTGATAAATGAATTTTGTTAAAAAAAAATAATATTAATTTAAAGAAAAATAAACAAAATGTGATACAGAAATCCAAATTAATTTGATTTGAAGAAAGTTTGGAAGATTTTGTCAGAGAAGCGCCTTTTCTCTTTACTTTTAAGCAAAATTTGTATTATTTTGCTGAATAGAAGTTTGATTAAAAATGAAATGGAACCGTAAGTAAAGTATCGTCTCAGGTGTGGAGCTGCTAAGCCGCAAATCTAATTTACAGCTTCACAAAAACAATACTCTACACACTTAGCTACAACCCCGATTTCAACATTTCAAAGCCAATACTATCAAATAAACTTAATTTAGACTACCATTTGAAGTTGTAGTAAATACTTTCCGAGCGTTCAATACATAATGATCTTAAAGTACATATGCTCCTCAATGGAAGGGCTTCATTCACATAGAAAGCGAATCATTTTAATTTGTTATTTTACTTACCATTATCAGGGTTTTTCTTTAAGTAGCTCAGCACCATATCTTTAAATCTGTAAGTAGAAAAATGTTCATTTAAAAACAATTCCAATAATCAAAGAATTATGTAAAACTTACTTGTTAACTAAATTTTTCTGAGGAGTGTGATGACCGGGAATCATTAATTTATTATATTCCAAACCTTGACTTACGAAGGACTATACAAAAAAATGAAAAACATTTTTAACAAAAAAACGTACATATATTTCATATTATATATTTCATTAGAAAATACTTACATCTGGATTATAATATCTGGAGGTATTGGTCAAATCTATTATCATACCTAATTTAGGCACTGTTTTCAATAAAATGTTTACATCTAGGCGCTTTTTTTCTTCCACATTCACATTAACGGTCTGATAAAAATATAAAAGTTTCATTTTTTGTGTTTAAAAATGTGTATTTTCATTAAAAAAGAAATATACATTTTTTTTTACTTCTAGCGAACTTTTTTTTTTACAATTTACAATTAAGCTTAACATATACTCAACATATATGTATATACATGCATATTTGCAATGCAATGAGTAAATTGAAAAATACCAGTCAGGGCCCGCAAGTCATACTGCATGGGACCACCCTATATGTCGCAACAAAATAAATTGCTTAATTAACGAAAAATAAATAAAAATAGGGCAGGGTATGCGGCAAGTACCACATTATACGCATAAATATTGTATATTTTTCGCTAAACACTTGCGCATGCGTGTGCCTTTGCATACGCGGTGTGACATGTCTTGCCTGCAAGCGGATTTCTGTGTGGTATAATTAATATAAATTTAACTTTTAGCCTCAACAAAGAATGCCAAAGCAGCATTGAAGCAACACAGACTCCAAACGAAACATTGTGTAAAAAAGGAATGGGCAAGAGTAAAGGTAAGCAACAGATATCATCGTGTGGCAGCCAATAACGCTGCTGCTACCTTCGGGAGTTGCTGTTATTTAATTAAGTAAAACAATTTAATTTCATATTCATATTTTCCTTGAATTTAATATGAACTGGCGCTTTGGTTCTTTGTTCCGGCATCGGCAGTCAGTAGGCGTGTGGTCCGCAAATGCACCGTTGCGGTATGTTGTCCTTACTTTGCCTCATATTCGCTGTTTTGCGCTTGCAAAACACGACAGTTGCCACTTTCATGCATAATTACAAGATGCAAGCATCTTTTGATTTATTTTGTAAAAATCAATGTATATACATATGTATATATGAAACAGTTTTATATTGCTTTGACTAAATACAAAGAATAAAATCGTATGAAAAGTTACAATATTCAACCGGCTTTAGAAGAATTATGATTTAGTAAAAAATTTATTGTTGCTATAATTTAGAACTAAGAGCCGTTTTTTGTATTTAATTTTTTTGTCAAAAAACGATACGTTAAAGTAAGTTTAAAATATTTAAAAACAAGTTCAGATGTTATTTCTCTCGGCTATGTTTAACGTATTGTAAGTTCATATAGTCAAGTTTTGAAATACATTCGTCCAAAATCACATTAGAAAATATAAATGTTTTATGATCAAACTGTTGGTAAAAAGACGCCGTTGCATGTTTAAACCGGTTTCATATGGTTCTGATAAAGTACTAATTTGGTTATTACAATGGTCCCTTAACTAAGATGCGAGTTTTATTTATACTTTAATTTGTCGTTTTATACGTATACAAAATCCAATTGCCAAATTAAAAATGTAACATTTAATTACTACCAATGCTAGAATTAAGAGGAGTTTGGACGAAAATCGTTTCAGCGAAATGCAGAATAGAATAGACAGCAGCAAATGGATCCTTAAGCCTTTTAATCAAATGCCTGCAAATAAATATTACGATATAAAATACTCACCTCCCGCAACGGCACCTTAAATGCAATAAAGCGAGTGCCCTCAACACGTTTGCCCACAGGTAAATAGTTTAGCCATCTGTAAATATTAGAGTTTCATTTGAAGAGTCCCTAATATCAGAATTTCTCAGCGTAGTGACATGCTCCTGCCATCTTCCAACGAACTTACCTGTCCGGTATCGAAGGAGCCATAGCGCAAGTACTCTTTGAAAGTTGTCGTACGGACAACAAAAAATAATTAAGCAAACGCGAATACACTTTGAAATCAGTATTTTTCGTATATATACAATAATTTATTATTTTACAAAATATAAATGTTTATGAAATTATTTGACATTTCACGCGCACGCATACAGTGGTCAGATGTTACGCAGGGATGCCACTCCCGTTGAGAAATTCGCAACAAACCACTCAAATCTCTCAAATTGAAAAATAATTTTGTATAAATAATTTGAGATTAAATTTAAGGTACATATTAAATGCGTCAAAATGACAAAAACCGATTATATTGAAGTAATTTTATTACAATTTTTATTTATTTATTTAGTTATTTGTGTTTCAAAACTACCACACATTTTGGCCCAAAAGCAGCCTGTTGAACACTTCACCACAAACAGCTGAATCGCATCTCATTTGACTTTTGGACTTTCGTGGCGATCGCCAAGTGAGTGCTTAATTACCAAATAAATATATATAATAAATTAGAGAAGATCTTATCAATTGTAGGAGATTGCAGCTGAACGTCTTTATTTTATTTTACTTACAAATTTTATCTCGTCAAATAACAATAGAACAATGTTCACATCCAACGCTAGGAATCTGATGCGTAGCACCTTGGTATGTAACAAATTTTGAAATACCCCATGTGAAAAGAAAAAATAAAAAATTTAACTCATTACAGCTCCACCGCTGCAAGAGCACTTTGGTAGTAGCCGAACACAACAATGAGGCACTTAATCCTATTACGTTAAACACTATCTCAGCTGCAAGAAAGATCGGGGGTGATGTCACAGTGTTGGTGGCAGGCACCAAGTGTGGACCAGTAAGTAAAATACAAGCACACAAGTGTCTAACACGCCCGTAAATAATTATATAAATTTCTAGGCATCTGAAGCTGTTGCCAAGGTTGAGGGTGTTGCCAAGGTATTAGTTGCCGAGAATGCAGCGTTCAACGGATTTACGCCAGAGTCCCTCACGCCACTAGTGCTCGCCGCACAATCACAATTCAAATTTACACATATATTAGCTGGGGCTACAGCTCTTGGTAAAAATGTCCTACCGCGCGTCGCCGCTAAATTGGATGTCTCACCCATATCGGAAATTATCGAGGTAAAGAGCGAGGACACCTTTGTGCGTACGATCTACGCTGGCAATGCCGTTTTGACATTACGTTCAAAGGATCCCGTTAAAGTGATAACAGTACGTGGTACTAACTTCCCACCCGCTGCAGCCACTGGCGGCAGCGGCGCCGTCGAACAAGCACCAGCTGGTGATTATGCCTCCCAATTGAGTGAATTTGTATCACAAGAACTTACCAAATCCGACCGTCCCGAATTGACTGGCGCCAAAGTTATTGTATCCGGCGGACGTGGCCTCAAATCAGGCGATAATTTCAAGTTGCTTTATGATCTGGCTGACAAATTTGGCGCTGCTGTTGGTGCATCGCGTGCAGCTGTTGATGCTGGCTATGTGCCTAATGATTTGCAAATCGGCCAAACAGGCAAAATTGTTGCGCCTGAATTATACATTGCTGTCGGTATCTCTGGTGCCATACAGCATTTGGCTGGCATGAAAGATTCTAAGACGATTGTGGCTATCAACAAAGATCCCGAGGCGCCTATCTTCCAAGTAGCCGATATCGGTTTGGTTGCGGATCTTTTCAAAGCTGTGCCAGAGCTAACAGAAAAATTGTGAGCGTAAAATAACGTCCCTTATCTAAAGTTGTTAAGTAAAACCGTAGTGCATTTATTTAATTTTCTTTTCGAAAAAAAGTCTACCATTATTATTTTGTAATTAGTAGCAATTTATGAAATTTCGTTATTTTTTATATTATGTATCGAGTAACCTTTACAATCCTTTATAAATATTTTTTGCTTTAAGAAAAAATTGCTAAAACTATAATAAAATATATATACAAATTTATGTACTCAACCTTTCTTTGGGATTGGTTCGTTTGTTGGAATTTTTCCTATCTGTTATCATTACGTAATTGTGTTTGTTGTCTGGGGTGATCTTAAGCTGATAGGTGGCGCATAACTTAATTTTCGAAGCATACTTTTAGGCCGCAATAAAATGACATTTCCTCTCTAATTTAGTAAAAAGAATATAAAAACTTGTAAAAAAAAAATAGCATACATACACGTATGTACGTCGATGATTGGCAAATATGTACCATACCTGATATCAAGAAATAGCAACCATTTTGATATTGAAATTTGAAATTTTTGAACGTAATAAAAATTCTGGTTATTGCAAAAAAAAAGACAAGTCTAATTTTTTTACAAACAACATATTTTAATTTCAAACACAGAGTTTGTTAACTAAATTTTGTTTACTAATGAGGAGTACACTAAATTGTCAGTTATCTAGAAGCCTTAAATAAAACACCGTTAGTCATACGAAATTAATTTTAATACATACTTTTGTTCTATCTTTTAATTAATCAATGAAAATCAAAGCGACTCATGGGGCACACTACACACATATGCATACGCTGAAATAAGTGCTTCATTCATTATTATAAGTTTTACTTTAAACATAAAAGTGGGCCCGTCATGTCACTCCATATCGCTATGACGTCAATTTTGTTATTAAATAATTCCATTTGGTTACGATTTGTCGAGTTGACGAGTTAAACACATTAAAAAATATTTGCAGTTGCATTTTATAGTAAAATATTTATGTTTTCTTAAGTTTGTTATTATTTTCCTAACCATTAATAAATATTTTTCACTTTTTCTCAAAAAAAAATATCTTAATATTTATATATTTTTTATTTATTTACATTTTTCCACTATAAACAAGATAGTGCGCCTCTTCCGTGTGACTTCAATAAGTAAATACTTATTATCGCGCTGACCTATTTTAAAGCCAATAAGTGCCACACATGTACATACATACAAATACACTGTAATGTAAAAACAAAATACAACTTGTATATGTTTTTTTTTTTATTTGTGAATGGTGTTATGATTATATATACAATGTATGAAAATACTGGCTTAGAAATTTCTAAAGTTCGTTAAAGGTCAATTCAATAAAAAGTACCAACTTTGTTTTAATTATATACATATTTTTTTTACTTTTCATTTTTATTATTATTGTTTTTAAAATTACATACATATACATATATGTATTGTGCACTATTTATTCACTTTTATAAAATAGAATTCATCAGGGATTTTGTTTGTTTTAGCACTATTTGGCATCTATTCTATTTCCAGTTGGTTATTTGATATGCAATACATTTGCTTATCAGGTTTTGTCTTTACAATTACTATTTTGAACTGGACAATTTTTCAGTAAATGTTTCTAATTTTTTTTTTTTGTTTAAATTAGCGTCAATATATGTATATTTATATATTAAGATGCTCATAAATTGATTGCATTACGCCATGGGGTGAGAGCCATCCATGTGCTGCTTCATCAAGTAAATCATTCACAATAGATAATTAGCTTATATGTACTCGTATTATGCGAAAGCCATAATGTGCTTTAATATATATTTAAAGTTAAATTTTAAAAAGCAGAGAAATTCTTGCAACAAATACACGCACAAATAAATGCTCATGTATTATGAAGAGCACTTTGACGTCCAAAGATCGCAGTAATCATATGCCTGCCAGCGTCATAGGGAAATCTTAGAACGCACTGTTGTCATATGAGCTTATCAACATAGACTAGACTTCAATTATTATTTGTGGTTTTTTTTTTTGTTTTTGATTTTTAGCGAACTTTTGCTCTTTTCACTTGATATGGACACGGGCAGACATGCGACAATTTAATGTTGATATTGCAACAGCATATAAAACGATGGACTAAAATGTAATTAAACAAATTAATAAACTTTAATACATAACTACATAGACCTTTTACCACAAAATACACATAAGGCAGTATACCGGGAAGTTTAACTGCTGAAATTCGAACGGTTTTGACAATACGGAATGCATTTCTATATTTTTCCAACAAGTGGAGGTAACTACAGTTTATTCTAAGCCGCCTCCGAATAGTTGTAGGATTTTTAGGAGGAGCTTTTTATGTTATGCCAGAAATACACTCATAAAATCAGTATTTCCCCGAGAGTCTAATAATATCTAAAAGAGGTTTAACAGCACTACAAATCGATAAACAGTTCTAGTCAAAATTAAAGTAATATTTTTCAAGATGACTATAGATTGGGCGTACAGAAAACGGTAATGAACCTACATAACAACATTTATTCGCAAATTGCGTTTCTTATTTACCAGATGTTATTTTGAGCAGTATTTAAAAAAAAAAATAATAATAAAAGGAAGTACAAGCGCCAAACACGTGTTTTTTTTTCTTTTATATGCATAAGAAAAAAATAAAATGATAATATATGCATGTACTTCTGTATATATTTATGAGTGCTTATAAAAAAAAATCATGTTTACTGATAGCCTATTAATTAAATTCGCCTAAAGTACCACACAAAACGGATGTTAAAAACAGAATATAACGACTAAACTTTTGTTCATATAGACAAATATTACACGTTTCATTGTAAATTGTTCAATATGAAAGAAGAAGAAGGTTTACATTTGCTCTATGAAAATTAACGCCCTTTATTTAAAGCAATAGCATATAATATTTGCGCTTAATTTGATACATCTACTAGCTGATTAATCAATTTTTAGAAATTTTCTAAATCTTCAATAGCGAACTTATTTGGCACGCGAATACTAAATGTTTCGAGTATCAGGAACAAGGTCAAATCTGATATGCAGGCTGAGACCTGCTATCAATGAATATATACATATGCACATACATATACAAATAGAAATTTTAAATCTTTCAATAAAACTTATCAGTAAAAAAGTTCAGCGTCTGATTGGTTATTAGGTGGGAGTACAGACAATGTACGACGCAATTTCTGGCAATATGCGCGTCTTAATTTTCTATATTGAAGTTCTAGAAATTAAAAAAGTGGCTTACGGATAAAAAAAGTGGCTTACAGGTGAAAAAGACAACATTTCCTTGCAGCATAACCTAACAAATAAAAATATTTTCCTATACCACCGGAAATCCTTGAAAAAAATTGCAGAGAAAAAACTAATTTCATAGTAGAAAAATTAAGGAAATATTTTTTTATCTCACTACCAGTTCTGTTTTAATTATAAAATTTGATTTATTTTTCAAACCTGCACCTTGCAAGCGCAAGGAACTGATCAAACCATCCAAATTGAGGTATGTGTTAATCGCTACCATACAACACCTGACTCGCTAAACAACTATGCGCAACAGATTGCCCACATAATTAAATTCAAACTTACAAACAAAGAAACAAAAGAGAAACAAACAAATCAGTAAGAAAGAGCTCAGTTCGATTAAGATGAAATTTAATTAAAAAACCAAACAAAAATATTTGAAATTTTTCGCTGATCTATGGCAGGTTATACAACAGTAAAAACAAGGGTGGCAAGATAAAGAGGACCAAAGTCGGTGTAAAATCAGGAGCGGCATTACTCAACGCCTTGTGACAAGAACACAACGGTTTCTGACCAACATAGAACAATTGACCTCTGTTTTTACTGTTAGCAGACTTCGAGCGTGCTTTCGATGCGATTGAAAGAGAAGAGATATAGAGAGCGCTCTCAGCGTTTCCTGAATACCAGAAAGGATAAACATAGTGACAAGTTTCCTATATAGAGAATAGAGAAGAGTCCTTCGCCTCTACTTTTTCCCCAATCAATTGTTGAACAGACAGGTTTAGAAACTTCATACCACAAACAGACATTAGTCTTTTTCTTTATTTAAATAACGCCAAGGTGGCAGATTTTTTACTGTTACTTCAAGACTTGCTTACTCGCCAGCAAAAACAAAAAAAATAACAACTTAATATTTGTTTCAAATAATTTAGTTTGATCATCACACTTTTCATAATCATGACTTCTTTTAACACAAAACCTGTCCTTTTTGTTTTCAGATATTTTCAATTTCCGAATATAATTTTTGAAAATTTTTACGTTACTTCGACATTTTATAACAAGAATTATTACAATTTTTTTATTTATTTTTCTTCACTTTGATACATACATACATTGGTATTTATATTGGATATTATTTTCAATAGTTTTGAAAACGATTCCTGATCGATTCAAGTTTGAAAATTTTGCACAAAATATTCACGACGAAAAGGTCTAATGTTGCTTGAAAATTCCATTTAACCATCAACAACTCGAGCTACTCACCTGACTTGGCACGCCGACGAGGAGTAATCATATATTGTACTACTGTTAAAACGATTCTGAGGGCACCGATTGTTATTGCGAAAATATGATGTCAGGTTGTCCCGTTCGACATGATAGTTCTGTTGTTCTACAACAAACTTAATATAACCTTTGATCTTAGTACAGTTGGGTATAATAAAGAAACGAAAAGTGAACTAAATCCTCGACAAATAGTTGCAACAAACCGTTGACTAAATAACTGACCAACTGGTTGACTCTTTGCGGCACTTACTGTTTGCAAGTGGTAATTGTAGTATTAGTGGTCAGATAAGCCAGGCAAATTTTATTATATTTTTTTTTTTATATTTAAATATATATATATCTACATATATAAAAATATATACATATATACATATGTATACACATATGAGCTTATGATCTATAAGTACGATTTAAACGACTTACAATTCGGACAGAATTCCAATCACCGATGTCTGACGCCTGCAACAACAGCAAAATACTAGTACATACGTTTATACATACATATGTACATATATACATATATACAAATGTGAGTACATACGAGCATGTTATAGAAATAGCCACAACGTGGAGTCTGAGCCGTTAACGACGACGGAAACGTTGGTGATGTTGGCGCTGACGGCGAACTGTCGATCACAGTATTTTCCTGGTGATCCAACAAAGCGGACGTGTTCGACGCGAGAGCACATTTAAACAAAACGTGGTGAATACTTACTACAAATAAAGTAGAGATTTCAAAAGCTTAACGGTACATGCGGTAAAGTTTCAAGTGTTGAATGAGCAAGGAAGTATCGAAAAGCGGAAGAGAAGTGCTAAAAAAGGAAACTTGAAATAGAAAAATTAAAAAAGCAAAACAAATTACATAATCCACACATTCACAATGCCTACGAATGGTAAACGTGTTTGCGTTATTGGCGCGGGCACAGCAGGATTATGTGCACTGAAGAATTCCCTGCAACAGGGTATGGATGCGGTGGCCTACGAGCAATGCAGCGAGATCGGTGGCACTTGGGTGTATACGAAACCGGGACAAAATGATGTGCACAGCAGCATGTATGAGGGTTTGCGGTAGGTGCCTCAAAGTACTCTTAATGTAGATGCCAATATATGGCAATAATTTATTTCACACTCAATTATAGCACCAATTTGCCGAAAGAGGTTATGGGTTATCCTGATTATGCATATCCCAAGGATATTGAACAATCATTTGTACCATCAGCGGAGGTGCTGAGGTTTTTGCAATCATATGCGCAACATTTCAAATTATCGGATTACATTAAGCTGCAGCATGAGATAATACGCGTGCGTCCATTGAATGGTAAATGGGAGGTGAGTGTAAAAAGAGTCGAAACATCAAATTAAAGTACTAAATTTAAGTACTACATCTATTCGGAAGCCGCTGTCATGCGGATAGCCAGAGTTTCAATCCCAACCATAACAAAATATTAGACATATGAAAATGAGGGTTTCTAAATGAAATCATGCCTCGGCAAGGCATACAGAAAGAAGGTTTTCATAAAAATCCATCAGTGGCTCAAAAATTGTTGGCTCCTCGAACAAATTAGAGGAGGAACTTGCACAAAAATAGTTTCACGGTTTATATTACATTAAAAAGGCTTAGTCCTGAATGACTGAGGGATTGACCCACAGATTAAACAACTGATTGTAGAAACCTAAAACTTAGAGGGTGCGTTCTGCATGTTAGACTGAAGACCGATCTATTCGAAAAATTCCCTCAATTTACATGAAATTTGGTACTGAGATAGCGCTTTTTATTCCGGGAAGCAGACCTAATACCGATATATTTAAAAAAAAATCGTATTTTTTAGTTTTATATGGAATTTGAAATTTTGAAATTTAGCCCAATTCTAGGACTTGAAGCTTAGTTTTTTCAACTAAAATAACTTTCAACGGTTTTCTAGTTTTTGCCGGCTTTAGCGGCAGACAACAAAATTAGTCCGCCCATTCAGTTTTCGTATGAATTACACGCCTACCTTAGAGTATAGGAATAGAAAAGCTTTTTATAATTTTTCAACTCGCGAGTGGATCTATTCTATACCCCTCCGCACTGTTCTCCATTGGCTGCCATAACTTTCTGAACAAAAATTTGCTTTGTAGATCTACGTGCGCGACATCAAAAATGACAAATTCACTAAGGAAATTTTCGATTACGTTTTCGTTTGCAATGGACATTACAGCAGACCGCTGATGCCGGATATTGCAGGCATTGCTGAGTATAAGGGCAAAAAGCTGCACAGTCATTGGTACCGCAAACCGGACACATTTGAAGGTGCGTAGCATGCAAAATTATGTTCTTATGTAAAGTAGCACATTGCCAATGTGTTCTGCTCTCCCCTTTAGGTACCACTGTGCTCGTGATCGGTGCCGGCCCTAGTGGCATGGATATCACACATCACATTAGCAAATTTGCCAAGCACATCTACCTCAGCCACAATTTAGATCCAGCACCTTGTACCGATTTCATGCAGAATGTCACGCAGAAGACAGTCGTACAACGCTTCACCGAAGATGGCGCTGTATTCAAGGATGGCAGCACCGCAACCTTCGATCACATCATCTTCTGCACAGGCTACAAATACACTTTCCCCTTCCTCAGCATCGATGTTTTATTGCGCGTCGACGATAATTTCGTGCATCCACTCTACAAGCATTGCATCAATATTCATTATCCGACGATGGCGCTAATCGGTCTGCCCTTCTATGTTTGTCCATCGCAATCTTTTGATTTGCAAGTACGTTTTGCGCTTGCCTTCTTCTCAAAGAAACGTGAATTTCCCAGTCGCGAAGAAATGTTCGCCGATCTGGAGAAGGATATGGAACGTCGCCGCAAGAAGGGACTGACCAATCGTCAAGCGCATGCGATGGGCGATAAACAGGTGAGCTTGCGATGCGCCTAACAAATTTATCTACTTTCGAAAACACATAATTTTACTTCCTTTTAGTACGACTACTATAGCGATCTGTCTGAGACTGCTGGTATTGAGAACATCAAACCGGTAATCAACAAAATCATGGAGGATTGCAGTCGCAAATACATTTATGAACTGGCCACCTACCGTAATGATCGCTTCAAGGTTTTAGATGATGAAACTTTCGTGAAATATCCAATGGAGACTGCTTGAAGTTCGAAAACTTTTGTGCTACTTCTTCAATATGCTGCTTGGGTACTTTTAAGGGGGTAATGGGTGCAATATGCTTACTTTATATTAACTGTTTATTTAAATACTATTTTACTGATACTACGCTTTTGCTTTGTTCAACTGTTGTAAAATATAATTATAATTCATAATCAAGCTTCATACTCCAGCTTCATTTGCGCAATAAAATTCGCCTTGAACGAAATGCAAAAAATTATGTTCTTAAAATCTTTTTCAAAGATTAATAATAATGAAAAATCAAAAACACAAAAAAAAATTATGCGATAAGCCGTTATGTTGTTTATTACTGTTCATTCATCTCAAAGATTATTAGCGAAGAGTTACTGACTCAAGAACTCAGATTTGTACCGTGATGCGCAGTGAGAAAATTGTTATTGTGTCGATTGAAAAATGATGGGACTGCAAATAACGCAGAGGAATAAGCATTTTTTTTTGTAATTTGGATCAGCTATATTGAAAACAAGAAAAATAAGCAATTAGTTTTAAATATAGCTCGAGACTCTGTTCGCACATGTTCAATGGTGTTCTACAGAAAGTTTGACAATGAATATTTTTTTACCCCAGATACTAGAGCTCTACTCTCACATTGCATTAAATCATTTCAAATTAAGCTTAAGCCTGTGCGAGACTATCTATTTATACTGTTAGATCTAAATGGGCAACCGCTTTAATAGTGAAATGTGAAAACACATAGGAAGGGAGCATAACTTGAGTCTCAGTTCATACGCTTGAAGAGGGTAAGGAAACTGCCGCTGGTGATTGGCTGACGCCATCGAATGTTTCAGACCTTTCATTGCCTTCAGACCTCGACTAACCTTGAGCAACACTCAAGATACTGACGCACTTCCAACATACAGCACTCTGTGAACCAGCATGGATAACTGAGAGGCAAACTTCTATTTGCACTATCCCCGAAAAGTCATCTTCAAAACCAGGTAAGCTTGAATTAATTAAATACAGAGCGTGTACAGAGGCGGATGAAACGCTTGGATTTCAGTTGATTGAGACTTCATACCTCTCACGATGCTCCATTCTGACGGATAATCGGGACACATGAGTGGAAGGAAACAAGATAGTTTACTAAATCAAAAGAAGTGCATATGTCGCAGAGAGACATATGGCGGAGACTACTTTTCACAACCGGCGAGCAACAAGTGCGGTGATTAATAACCGACGACGCACGTATAATGACAACCAGTAAACCATTTTGTACCACAGTTTACTAAGGTCGGTTATTATCGATGCGGTGTTCAGAGTAGTCAAAGATACCGGCGACGCCTTAACCAGTTGCCGTCATCTAATCGCACGCTGTGAAAAATGTCAGGTGCTGAGATCGTGTACGTCGAAGTAGAACAGAAGTAGATGATTGTGAACATAAATAATTTAGTGGATAATCCCATGTATGTTCATATTTATTTTTAGCTGCTCTTCGAAAATGAACTGATAACAGTACTTTCTAACAAAATTGCAAATACTGACATACATACTGCACAAATCATAATTCAATTCCTTTCGTATATTTTCTTTTTAAGTTTGTAAATATCTTTAATTCTAATTTTTTGCTTTTTATTTCTTTAATTTTTTTGATTTTTTCCGACGAAACCGTCGTAATTACCGGCGCTGGCCATAGTTAAGCCATTATGCCAAACAGGTTTTCCTCAGCCAACACGTGACGCTCCCACCACGCACCGATTTCATATAGAATGTTGCACAAAAACCGATCGTGCAACATTTAACATCACCAAGCGCAATTTTCAACCACTTTAGCATTGTGATTTTCTTTATATAGCACCCTTCCTAAGCGCCGATTATGTTCTGTTTGTGGATGAAAATGCAGTTTATCCACTTTACAAGCATTGCATCCACATCAATTGATCAACAATAGGTTTTATCGATTTGCCATTGTACATATATTTTATCCAGTTTGCTCAATCTACAGGTACGCTTCACACTGGAGCATTTCAGCAGACGTAAGGTTTCGGCATAGTCGGCAGGAGAGGTTGAACGATGTTGGCTGAGCGAAAGGCGCGTGGGTAGCGAAAGTGCTTTTTTTATGAGATAAATAATTTAAGGATGAGGTATACATACGAGTACATGGGTTGTATGAACATCCTTTGAACCTAATTCATTAGTTCTTAAACTTAGAAATTGATCACGGCGACCGCGGTATCCGAGTGGTTAGCATTGCATACTGCCATCCGGAAGGCTCGAGTTCAAATGCCCGTGCGACGAAAATACAAAAATTATAGAAAATTAATTTAAATAAAAAATTAAGCTAAATTTTCTAATTGCGGTCGCCTGCGGCAGGGAATGTTAACCTTTCCGAGTGTATTTCTCACCTAAAATAAAGCGTCTCATAAAAAAAACAATCAGCCGTTCAGGCTCCTCCATTTGTTGGAAAAAGATCAACACGCAAAACCGCGAATTGGAGGAGGAACTCGGCGGAAAATCGCTTTAGCGGTTACAAAGTGCCAATTATATATATATTGTATATTATCTTCAATATCATGAATGAAATTAATCCGAAATTTCCATACGAAGTGGACACAAATCGACAAACAGTTTATGAATTTGTGGACGATATGAATACCGTGATTCATTCTAATGTGAATGCTAAAATTGTGCGAAAATCATACTGATGACGACGCATTTAAGGACTGCATTTCTCTGCATATATCATAAAAAAATGAAATAAAATGAAATAGAAGAAACTAAATTAGAATAAAATAAAATATTGTACAATGAATTAAATTAAAAAAAATACAAAAAAATAATATAAAAAATATAGTTACATTATAATAAAAAATAAAATAAAAATTAAATTAAAAGAATATAAAATAAAAAGAAAATTAAACAAAAAGTGGATTAAAATAAAATAAAAGGTTGTCAAATATCCGCTTCCGCTTTTTTGCCCTTCATTCAATGCTTTATAAAAAGTGTTACAGTGATCGGATTTAGTTAGTTGCCATCTAGACGGCAACTTCATAATACCTGCCTCGTAGAAGCCCCCTCCTTATTAGCGAAGAGTTCGGACAGCAACTTTTCACAAGGCTCTTTTGAGTTCAACTTCTTCTGACGAGTCATCAACGAAGTGTGTGGTCTGGCGTTGTCCTGGTGGAACACTACATCCTTCAAGCGGTCTAGTTGTTCGCAGTAGATGGTAGAATTAAGCGTCTGGCCATATGGGAGCAGCTCATAGTGAATGATTCTCTTCCAATCCCACCAAACACACAGCAAACCCTTCCTGGCCGTCAATCCCGGCTTGGCCACTGTTTGGGACGATTCACCGGCATTCGACCACGACCGTTTTCGCTTGATATTGTCGTATTTGATCCATTTTTCGTCGCCAGTCACCATCCGCTTCAAGAGTGAGTCGAGTTCGTTCCGTTTCAACAGCATATCGCAGGCGTTGATTCGGTCCAGAAGGTTTTTTTGCGTCAAATTATGCAGCACCCAAACATCAAACTTTTTTTTGTAACCAGCCTTCTGCAGATGGTTCAAAATGGTTTGGTGACTAACTCCCATCTCCTGGGCAATGTCACGAGATGCCATATGCCGGTCTAACTCGATGTATTCCATGATTTGATCGGTATTTGTCGTCACAGGTCTTCCGGCGGCTGGCTATCCATGGTGTCGTTTTCACCGGCTCTGAAACGTCGAAACCATTCCTCCGCGGTTCAAAGTGATAGAGTACCATCCCCCAAACATCTTTAATCTCACGGAACGTTTCTCTAGCGGATTTGCCTTTAACGAAGGAAAACTTTAAAATAGCGCGAATCTCGGCGTTAGTGAACTCCATGTTTACACGTCTATAAGTGTTGAACGCAATATCCAAACTAATCATGCTTAGCGTAGGTTGTAGGTTATGTCAATACCTTTCAAATTATGTATAGTGTACAGTGCCAGATACGAGCTCTGTAGCGCTTTGTACATAGCCGGGAAATTCAAAAGACAAAAAAAAAACGGAAGGGAGATATTTGACAACCTAATACAATAACTTAAATGAAATAAAATGCAAAAAATAAAAAAAAAAACATTTTAATAAAAAAATGTAAAAATTTATAATAAAAAAATTAAATATCTAAGAAATGGAATAAAAAAATTTAATTAAATGAAGTAAAAGATAAAATAAAAATATGTATCAAAATGAAATTAAATAAAATAAAACATAAAATTAATTAATGAAAAATAAAATAAAGAAAACTCAAATAAAATAAAGCGAATTAAAATAAAGAAATAAATAAATACTTAAAACAAGACAAAATAATTAAAAAAAAGAATGCCAAGCGAACATATTTACGCAGGATCTATGCCTAATTACAATTCATACTAAGTTTTGGTTCTAAAAATTTAACTAAATCGAGCCACGAATTTGTGTATTTTTAAATAGATCGGCATACTTTCCGTAAACAATGTAAAGAACTAAAAATCCTTTATTTGAATAGGTCCATAGTCCACTTTCCGAATTTGAAATAAATCAAAGCATAAATACGATTTTTCGAAGGAACCATACATACAAACATTTACATTTTCCCAAGTTTTTATACATATATAAATTAATTCCACATTGTTTTGTTAAAACTTATTTAAATGACTTTGCACTGTTTGTCTGTACTAATGTAAATGTAATTAAAATATTATTTATGTAATTGCATTGTATAGTGCAAACAATAGTTGATATGCATACATACATATGTATGCATGTGTATATGTAAGTATGGCTTGGTAGAAAAATATGTACGTACGTGTTATCATATATGAAATATCAATATGTAAATGTTTTTCTCTTCATGTTATAGACAACCCTCAGCCGAAGTGAATGCATTCACTAAATTAATGGATGCCTCATTAAGACTTCTCACAAAAAATATAGCAGAACAACATGAAAATATTTCCACTATGTAAAGATCTTTAGGCTTTCTAAACCTTGTTCTTCTTGTGCTCTATTTTCAAGCGCTTTGTTCAGGCAAGATTTTCTTACCGAATCTTAAGCTTTCAGTTTGACAAGGCACTGTCTCGTAATTGTTCCAGCCTCTCTCGGAACATAGTGCTCTTTTTGGAACTAATTGTTTATGACCAATTAAAGCACTAATTAATAGCGACTAATAGAGATTTGTTACTTTTGTTACATTTGGGTTTTCACAGCTAAGAATACCAACAAAAAATTTAATCAGTTTTTTTGTTTCAAAATCGACTTTAAAATTTTCAAAATAGAAGCTGGAAAAAGTGATATTAAAAATACAGAGCAAAATCATATAAATTTGGTACAGTGTTTATTATTAAACTAAACAAACGAAGCACCCTGTATGCATATATGTGCATGTGTATGTTCAAATGTACATATTCAAAATTGTAATCGTTATTGGTTGAACGACAGAGGATTTCCATATCAGAGCCAATTAATTCGTATCAGTTTAAATTGAATGAAGAGTCGGCATATTGAGCGCATAATAGCAGATCAGCAGTAAGCGCCAATGATCCCTCCATACGAGTGAGTACCACGTACGAATAAAACTTTATACGAACTCACGCAGCTGTTCAGTTGTAACGTATATAAGTAGCGAAGAGGAGCTGCTCACAAGAGCGCGGGTAGTTTTCCTTTGAGTTAATAAGAAAATATATTCATTGAAAAAAAAGAATAAAAATACAAACGTAAATAAAAACGCATTTTTCGGCAATTAAAAACATATCAATATTTTTCCGACACCAAAAAGCGCTTATCACACAAATAATTTACTCTTTGCAAGAAAGAATATAATATAATCAAGCAAATAATATAAAAAATAATTGAAAAAAAAATATGAGCGCGAAATCCCGATGCTGCATAGTTGGCGCTGGCGCAGCTGGCCTCTGCGCCTTGAAATATGCGCTCGAATTCGGCATGGAGGCGGTGGCGTATGAGAAATGTAATGAAATCGGCGGCACCTGGGTGTACACGGAGCAAACAACGGATGGCTTTGCAGCAGCGGAGGATGTGCATAGCAGCATGTACGAGGGTTTACGGTAATACACATAATTAAATATAAAAAGTATTAAATTAAAATATGTTTAATGACATTTGTTGCATTAAAACTCAGATTAGATTAGTTTATAATGGAAATATATGTTTAATTAAAATGAAAAAATTTCACTTAGAAACCAATAAAAAAATTTATATTTGTAAACAAAAATTGATTACAATAAATTGCAGCACCAATCTACCAAAGGAAGTTATGGATTTTCCTGACTTTAAGTTTCCCACCAACATGCGTGAATCCTATATTCTGGCCAGTGATGTCTTGGCATACTTTCAAGCATATGCCGAGCACTTTCAACTCCTGCCACACATTCAATTACAGCAGGAGGTGGTGCGTGTGCGACCCCAGCATAACAAGTGGGAGGTGAGTGTATGTGTGCGCTTTGCAAATAAAAGAAAATTACTTTCAGCTTTCCTTCATATATTTAAAAATTTATTTAAATTTTCTAGGTTCTAACGCTTGATTTACAAAGCAACAGTTTTACGACGGAAATTTTTGATTATATTTTTATTTGCAATGGACGTTATGCTACGCCGTCTTATCCGCAAACCGAGGGTATTGATTTGTATAAAGGTCATAAAATTCACAGTCATGTTTTTCGCAAGGCGGAGAGCTTTAAAGGTGTGTATGTAATTGTGTAAATTTATGTATCTGTGTCATTGTGCATGTCGTCGTTGCTTTCTCCTTCATATTCATTCATTTCCGGTTATTTTCAATCAATTTAATTATTTTGTTTATAATTTAATAATGTTAATGAGAGCGTTTAAAATCATTAAATCGGTGCATTCACTAGCAGAAAATATGTACGTATGTATGTATGTACATAATTCTTATCACTGTGGAGTGTTAAATAAATATTTTCAATAATTAGAGCAAGCCATACACGCATACATATTTATGTAAACATCTGCGACAATACAAAACAAAAGATTCGAATGATAAGACCGCTTAGTGATTGAATTGCAACTAAAAAATATTTAAATATTTCTTAAAAACAATAAACATAAAATAACAGATCTCATAGAGAACTAGAGGCATAGATTTCGTTACGTGAATTCCCACTTCTTCGTCAGCTATTGTTTCCATTTTCGACGACTCTCACTTGAATTTAACTTTCGATTGAGTACTCTTAGGAGGTTAGATCCTATGTCTACGAATATATCATTATATAGAGGAAACGAAAGTCCACTCCCCCTTTAACTACCTTTAATAACCATCCAAAGACGGGCGTGTGGATTAAATACTAAAACGGACTAGAATTCTAGTAAATTTTTTGTGAAGAATCCCAAAAGCCGACGAGCGAACTTCAATTAAAAGCCAAAGCTCGTCATAAATCAAAAAACTTTGCCTGTCCCGATAAAAGCCCCACGAAGTTGGTAGGTGATTTTTTTTAAATTACTATCTACAAACTGGTTACCTTGAGGTCACAGTTGACCGGTTTTTTATACAAACGATACATAAGGGTATCTAATAATCAGAACCATTCGAGCTTTTTCTTGCTTGGATTTACTAAGAGAAATGTGCAAGCTTTCAAAGCCTGCTATATGGAGTGGAAATGTAAGAAGGCAAGAGGCGCTAGTACACATATATTATTGCTGCGAGGCCTAAGCAAGAACACGACTCTTTCACTGCGGCCAGGGACCATCACTCTTGCAATATTCCCCGAAAAACAATTTGAGGAATATTTTTGCAGTTATAAATTAAGAAAACCAAGGCTCAACCACCTAATATCTTTTCTATACGTAGAATTAGTTGAAATTTTAAAATCAAAACGAATATTGTTGTTGTTGTGGTAGCCGAAAAGATATACTTCAAATTGATTTTTGCAAAATGATATTTGAGTGCAAGTATAAAAGCAAGAATAAAAATTTCGGTATATAAAACCCTACTGGCGCCACGGAAACTTTTGGATGTTAGCCGCCTTTTAGAATGGGTAACCCTAACGAGTAGAAAAAAAAACCCATGTCGCTCACTTGTGGGGGGTCCGTCGACGAGTTAAATGGCGACTAAATCACTTCGACTGAGATTCAGTCTCCATCTGACACTACAATGACCCAACAGAACTGCGTAAAACGTAGCAGTCACCCAATGTAGTCTAATCTAAACTAAATTAACTACGAACGCTTTTTTCCCGAAAACCAGACTGGCAAAACGTTTTTAGATCTACTGCCAACCGCCCATAGAAAAAAGCTTCCAAAACTTTTATTTTCATTTTTATTAATGTGTGTTTTCTTTCTCTCCATCCACAGACGCCACTGTTCTCATGGTTGGCGCCGGTCGTAGTGGCATGGACATCACCCATCACATCTACCCATTTGCCAAGCGTATATATCTCAGTCATCACCTACAACAGAAACCGCCGATAACAGATTTTATGCCGAATGTCATACAAAAGCCTGTTGTAGAACGCTACACTGCAGATGGCGCCATCTTCAAGGATGGCACACAAGCCAGCTTCACGCACATAATCTTCTGCACCGGCTACAATTTAACCATACCCTTTCTCAGTGCCGACTGTAACCTGCACGTCCATGACAACCTCGTCTATCCACTCTACAAACACTGCATCAATATCTATCATCCGACAATGTGCTTCATTGGTCTGCCAATATACGCGTATCCCATCAAGCTGTTCGATATGCAAACGCGTTTCGTAATGCAATATTATAGTGGTAGATTGCAATTGCCCAGCACGGCGGATATGTTGGCCGATACGGAACGTGATTTGGCCGAGCGTAGGGAGCGTGGTTTGCCACGTCGAAAGGCCCATTTGGTTGGCGAGCGACAGGTGAGTGATGGCGGAGGAAAAATTCTTGAAAAAAGGTATAATAAAGTTAATATTTTCTGTATTTAGTTTGACTACTATGACGAGCTGGCGGCGTTGACAGGCATCGATAATATCAAACCTGTTATTAAAAATCTTTCGAAAATCTGTAGCGGCAAATTTCTTTACGAATTACAAAATTATCGGAAAACTGCGTTTGAGGTTATAGATGAAGAAAACTTTGTGCAATTCAAGTTGGATGAAGTCTAATGAGGAAAATTTTAAGAATATAGGGAAATAAAGAGATTGTATTTTAAGAGAACTAAATAAATATTTTTCATTGAGTAACAAAATATTTCAACGAAAATTAAAAAGAATCAACTGTAATTTTACGATGCTATAATATTTCGAAAGGTTTAGTAATGTATTGTCTTCGCGATGATATTAGATCGTGAGACATTTAGGAGTAGCAAACTGTAGCAAAAATTCGATTAAACGAACATTTGAGTGAAGAGTGAAGAGGGAAGTCCGCAACTGACACTTAACTATTTCCCTTTCGGGTTTAAATAAAGGGTGTAATTTTTTAGATATATGCTTTTTCCAAGAGGTATTACTTTTTTCGAGTTGGTCTTTTTGACAGGTGTTACTAGGCATAGGCCTTTGTTAAGACGCCGTTTGGCGTGCTCTATGGACTAAGGCAATCATTGGTTCATATTTTTTCAAAAATGAAACTGACGGTAATGTTACAGTCATTGAGGAACGATATACAGCCACGGTTATTGACTTTTTCGTGCCATACAATCAAGGAAAAAATCAATGTTTAAGGAAACTTTTGGCTTCCAAGATCGTAACAACGCTCGACTTTCTTAGTGAGGTTATGTGAAGTTGTTTGTCTACGCAGATGTGCCCAAGAAGATTGACACCTTGTTAGAGTATATACGCTATTGCCCACATTCGTACCCAATTGTTGCAGAAAGTGGTCAAAATCTGCGCTCATCGGCTGGTGATTATAGAGCCAGCCGGTCGCCCGAAGCCAATTTTCAAATATAATGGCAAATTTTCATATTTATAATAAAGCTAAACTCTCTGTAATAATATTAATGTATATCCATTTTATTTCCTCTTCAAAACCATAGAACTTTTATGCGTATGAACCTACATTAGGGTGACCTAACAAAAATTTTTTATATAAAATTTTATATTTACCCACCACAGAATGAGTACCAAATTTAAATTTCCTGAAGAGTTTTGCTTAAAAGCTGCTTAAAAGCATATTTCAATTTTCTGTTTCGGATGCAATGAGTTATGGCAAGGTAAAAAAAAATTCTTTAACAAAAAATTTAAAAATAAAATGGAACTTTAAAAAAAATAGTTATTCGGATTTTTTAAACCTTTCATGCACATTAAATGGTATATTATAACAACTTTGGTCCGAAGTATATATGTAAGTACCAGAAGAAGAATAGATAGACCCATCAAAACTTATACTGATCGGGTATGTAAGTCTGCCGGTCAGTTTGTATGCCAACGTGGTCTTTCAAGGTTTGAGGTTTTGTTACACAGATGAAATTTTACATTTAAACGATCAGTTGTCTGAATCAACTGGATCGGATCTCTATAACATACATATATAAATATATATATAATTGGCGCTATGTAACCGCTGAAGCGATTTTCCGCCGAGCTCCTCCTCCAATTTGTGGTTCTGCGTGTTGGTGTTTTTCCAACAGATGGAGGGGCCTACTGTTTATACTAGGCCACCTCCGAGCGGCTGATGGATTTTTTATTAGGAGCTTTATTTTGTGTCAGAAGTACACTCGGAGGGGTTGACATTCCCAGCCGAGAAATGAACGCAATTAGAAAATTTAGCATAATTTTTTATTTAAATTAATTTTCTATAACTTTTGTATGTTGGTCGCACGGGGATTTGAAACCGAGCCTACCGAATGGCAGTACGCAATGCTAACCACTCGGCTACCCCGACAGCCATATATGGGCATATATATAAATACGACCGTCAAAAATGCGCTTGAAGAGTTTGACATTCTCTGCCGAATGGCGAACGCAAATAGAAAATTTAACTTTCAATAATATCGGATGTTGTTTGGTCCAGAACAAGAACCCTGTTTTTGCCAATGGGAGTACGCAATGCTAGTCAAATCTAAAAAAGCTAGATAATTCAAACGTAGTAAGGAGTTGGGATGCCAACTGGAGGGGTCCTTATAGGACGACATGCAGAAAGGCTTTACACAAATGGAATTTGAATTTTTTTTAATTGGAAAAAATTAGTGAGTTAAATATATTATTTATTAGAAAATAGAAATAAAGTATTTAAAAATTTTAAAGAGATATTTTTGAAAGAGCGATAATGCAAACAAATTTAAGAGAAAATTGAGTCAAGTGGTAAGAGCGTAAAAACACTCCTTCGCCACTCATCTGCCGAATACAAGAGATCGCATTTGACCGCATATATACACACATGTTATTGTAGATAAGCTGCAAAGCTAGATGATTATGTGAAAACTAGTGAAAAAAAATATAAACAAATACAAATAAAAACACAGAGCGTCAAAGAACAAAGGCAGTCGCTCAATAGCCAAGAGCCAGTCGACTAGCTTGCTATAATAAACTATTTATTTGGAAGACTCACACGGTCAATTATTATACAAGGAAAGAACTACGCAAAATATTTTATAAACATAAAATTAGTGAATTAAAATGAGTGGCAAAAAGCGCGTATGTATCATCGGAGCCGGTATGGCTGGTTTGACAGCCCTAAAGAACTCGCTGGAACATGATTTGGACGCCGTGGCATACGAGAGACACACAGCGGTTGGCGGCACTTGGATCTATATGGAACGGAAGGTGGGTGAGAGCGAGGAGGATGTGCACAGTAGCATGTATCAGGATTTGTAGTGAGTACTGAAATGGAAATTACGATACAATATTTTTCGAATTCTTTTTATCATATTACACTGCCTTTAGTACCAATCTGCCAAAAGAGGTGATGGGCTTTCCAGATTATGATTTTGACACGAACATACCAGATTCATTTATCAGCTCCGAGTTGGTGTTGGATTATTTAAGAGATTATGCCAAACACTTTAATTTAATGTCATTTATCAAGTTGGAACATGAGATAGTGAGGGTGCGCCCACGTTACGAGGGTTGGGAGGTAAGAGAATTGCTAAATATATACACACACGAGTATCTACTCATATAAAATAAAGATAGCAATGTGCCCTAGGAATACAGTTCAGAATAAATTACATAATCTGAAAAGTAGTTTGCATTTTTTCACTTTTTTTTCGCTTTTCATCTATACGCAAACAGATAATCATACGTGATCTCCGTTGCGATAAGTATTCCGTTGAGTATTTTGATTTTGTTCTGGTTTGTAATGGACACTACACTACACCCATGTATCCGGAGACTGAGGGTCTTGAAAACTATCAGGGCGAGCGCTTGCACAGTCATCTCTATCGGAAACCCGATATCTTTGCAGGTAACATATGGCTTTATATTTCCTCATCTCATGAGTTAAACATAATTTATCGCACCTCTTTGTTGTCTTCAGGTCACAATGTACTGGTAGTCGGTGGCGGTCCGAGTGGTACGGATATTGTAAATCATATACACCGTCATGCTGAACAAATCTACTTCAGTCATCACCTGGAGACCGCACCACGCACAGATTTCATGACGAATGTCATACAGAAACCAGATATAAAGCATTTCACGCCAGATGGCGCTATATTTAAAGACGGTAGCAGCGCAACTTTTTCCTACGTCATTTTCTGTACTGGCTACAAATATACCTTCCCCTTCCTGAGTGTCGATTGTGGCATAAATATTGATGTCAATTGGGTGCACCCGCTCTATAAACACTGTTTGAATATTAATAGACCCACGCTGGCGATCATTGGTTTGCCACACCAGATTTGTCCTGCACAACTTTTTGATTTGCAAGTTCGCTTTGCGTTGGCTTTCTTCACGGGACGTAAGGAATTGCCGAGCCGAGGTGAAATGTTAGCCGAAATGGAAGCAGATATGGCGGCGCGTTGGGCGAATGGCGTAACAAAACGGGTGGCGCACAAAATGGGTACTAAGCAGGTAGTAATCTTACGAAAAAAAATTTTAGAAATATAAATTTTTTCGAAATGCTTGGAATTTTAAAATAACAATAACGAATTTCCCTCCATTTTTTCGCCATGCAGTACGACTACTACGAGGACTTGGCAACCACAGCCGGGGTCACTAAACTGAAACCTGTCATTACTAAATTGATGAAAAATTGCTCCAGAAGATATCTTTTCGAATTGGATACGTATCGCCAAAAACGCTACAGAGTTGTTGATGACGAGAACTTTATTGGAGTTGATTAACTTTTTTATGAAAAAACCTTTTGTATACTAGATAATCATAAAAATATAAAAAATATTTGCCCGGGCCAAAATGCCACCTCCTTACAGCCGATTATTAAGAATTTTTGATTTTGTGTCAGATATACATAAGAGGGCTGTCGAGGGTGATGGCAATCAGAATATTTTTTTCTTGGCTACATAGTGTATCACATCCATGTACAATATGTGTATATAAGTTTGGTTAAGCAAACGGTTGTACGCAACGGCTTAAATAATCGAGATGGAAAGGGGCCTGCACGAATATACATATCAAGTTTCCTGGAATAATGAGACGATTCGATTTAGCAATGAATTTTTGTCCGTCTGCGCGCCTGCCCGTCCGCATACTCGTTAGTTCAACTTTCCTTGGGTAACATGTACGAACGCCATGGCAAACAGGTGCAGGCGGACGAAGCTCTCGACTACCTCCCATATAACTGTAATTTGGAAGTGCGCGACCTGTGGAACGCATTCATTAGAATGATCGCACTAAATGAAAAAAGTAGTATAGGGTTATTCACTTAGTGGTTTCAAAAGCCCAGGGCTGTATTTTGACATCTGTCAAACGTAACAGTCAAACCAAATATTTTCTCTTGGTTAAAATTCAGTTATTTAAGAAAATTGGTCACTCAACAACCGGACAAAGTCTAAAAATTGTTAAAACCTACTAAAAAAAAACAAAATGGCGATTCAAACGTGGCCACCTTTCGTGCTCTAAAAGCAGATTATGGTGCGAATTTGAAGAGTTCTTATCAGTGACAGATATTGTAAGACCTGTGAATTATCGTTTTACGCTACTGTATGTAAATGAACGTGTAGCCGAAGACCCGAAGACACATTCTCCAGAGCTGCGACTTTCTTACTGCTCATCACGACAACCTTTGCACACAACAAAATGCAGCGACAACTGAGATCGTGCAATGCAAAAGACCTTGTTTATGCGCATGAACATTTAACTCTTAAGCACTTGAAAACAAACATTCGCCAAGTTATGACTTAGATATCGCCTAGTGCATAACCCTGTATATCTCAGAAACCACAGAGAACTCGCTAAAATTTGATAATTATTATTCACATGATCTATGCCCTACTACTTTATAGTTTTCACACCTAGTCTGGGTCGAGATTGAATATTTAAGGCCTTAATCGCCAGAAATCAACCAAGCTTGATAGGCATGCCACTACTAACAGGGACTTACGTAAGTCTAATAAGAAATGCATAAAACAGAGCTATTTTGGGCGATCTGTTGTCTACTCAATGGAAATAGAAGCGCAGATTCTTATGTTCGGTTCCAGTCAAAGTTAGCTTTCTACAATTTTAGACGGTGGTCAGGTCGGAGTACGAACCCATATGACCCTTCACACGGTAACGCATATTACTGATTACTCGACCGCTGACTGACTAACTCGTCAATCTTTCAAGAGACACAGGCCTAATTTACTATATTAGTAATAAAAACCCTTCCGCCTTTAAAATAAGAACACAATTTTTTTTTTTTTTTTGTTGGAAATTAGAAATTACACTTTATTCATTCTCTCAAGTTGTTGTTTGTTTGTTGGTTGATTTTTGATGGTGATTTGTTTATCGTTTATCGTAATACAAGTACATACAAAATGTTTAGTTTTTCCTCTAATAAATAATAATAAAAATATACTGCTGCCGTTCTGCTGCTACCGCTACTGCTTACCACTTATTTTTCTTACTTTGCTGCGTCTGGCTTCTATTTGATCAAATTCTTCTACTAATTGCCGATCTCCAACAAAGCAACACAACAAACGAAAAATCAAAACGCGCTAATATAAATGACTTAAAATTAGAAAAATCATTATTACCAATAGTAATTACAATATTTCAAAAACGAAACATGTATCGGTATGCATGTATGCATGTATGCATGTATAGGTATATGTGTATGTGTGTGTATATAGTATATCGATAATTTGTGCAACAGATGGTTTGTTGTTGTCTATACAAATACATATTTTTTTCTTGATACATAGTGTACATATGCCTTATGCAGTTATTAGTACGGGTTAATTCTTGTTGTTGTTGTTGCGTGAAGAAGTCCAACAGCGCAGTAGCCGCCCGTACACAGAAAATGAGCAACCACGCCAAAGCACGCGCAGCCGCGCATCAACTGTAAGCCGCCGCTGGCAACCGTTAGCGCCGAGTGTAGCGCTGCATGCGCCTGCACATTACGCATGCGCTACCGCCATACAAACATTAGTGAACCAGCCAGCACCCACAGGTTACGCACCTCCGCATTCTCAGCATCACAAATGCATCGGCGGGCAAGGGCAAGTGCTGTGCTCACCGGCAGTGTTATGTGCGACACGCGCAAACGTAGTAGGCGCATGCGCCAGCACGCCCCACTGAAGCGATCAACGGTTGAACAGGAGACAGGGTGATTGATATGCGCTGTGCGTGGCATCGGCGTAGCTACTATTACGTATTCTATTATTAACAAATCATAGTGTTGTGGTACTGTATACGAAATTTCTAACTTTTGCATTGGTGATTTTGCTCTTTTTTTGTTTGATTTTTCACAATTTTTTTTTTCTTTTGTTAATTTTTGTTACTTCTTCAATTCATTTCTTCTACTATATCTTCGACTTTCAACGTTCTAACGTCTACTTTTCGATCTCGACTACTGCTTATTCAACATTTTAACTTCTTCAGCGAAATTTCACTAAATACGCACATGGTTGTTGTTGTTTTTATATATAATAATAAGATTGTACATGATAATATTATTTACTTTTTTTAATTTCATTTATATATATATATATAATTATTTGCATTTCTATACATAACAGAGGAAATATGCATGTATGTATGTGGTTTATGTAGTGTTGTCCCCGAGTTGCACGAAAAACATTTGTTCTTTACTCAATGAAAGAAAAGAAGAGAGCTTCTTCTTTGGCCAAGCGGAAGGTTGTTCTCGTGCAACTGGCATGCGTGCGCGTGTGTGTATGTGAAGTGATATTTGGAAGTGTGTGCGTATGTGTGACACTAAAACGATTATTTTTGCATATTTCTAACGTGCGCACACATACATCATCTACATTGGCTTGCAATTGAATATTGCATCATCAACTTCGGTCGCAACTTGAACTTGAATTGTTTGTTTTTGTTTTTTACTTTAACTCTACTCGCCACATACACATTATCATATTAATTATCTTTTCACTTTTTTCTCTTTGCAATTTTATAAATTATTTGTTTTTGTAACAACTTCAGCGCGTACGCACCTCCATTTTCTTTAAATATGTATAGTATATGTATATCTATTATTAATAATTATATATGTATATATTTATATTATGTGTGTATGTATATTAAGTATTTATAGATATAATAATTATACATTTATAAATACCATTTTGTTTAGTTTTAAGCTTTCGCTTCGAAATTTCAAATGTCTCATAATCATAATCTTCCTTTTAAGCTTATCACAAAAAAAAAAGAAATATATTATAATTATTATTAATAATAGTTCTTACAAATTGAACAATAAAAATAAACACATATATAGGGACTTAGTTACAGTGTGTGTTGTGTGTGAGTGTGTGTTTGGATGTTTTCTTTTTGCTTTGATTTTTTTTTTTGGTGAATCGATGTTGCTTCAACCATTCCTTCGTAAGTTTACTTTCCTGCATGAATGCATGCATATGTTTGTGTATGTGTGTTTCCTTTTAAATACGACCTTTTTGTTGTTTTAGGCGCACGTTTGCCATTAACAAACCACGAACCGTTATCATCGCGCTCAACAATGTGGTCTTTCCCTCAATCAATGCAACAACAAAAAGTGATCAACATGCGTACCGCTCAATGAGAGACGTGGTTTAGCGTTCAAGAATAAATCGTATGAAAATTCATACAGCCTAAAAGTAGGCTTGAAATGGTGGTTGTATATTGGGCGCTTTTGGTTGTTTGTAAATAACCAATTCCTCGATGTGTGTATGTGTGTGTGTGTTGTTGTTGTTAATATGCGTTATACGCAAGCGCCCGTTTTTTTGGGAAGTTATTTGTGAAGAGTAATCTTCGATTTTTAGAGTAATTGACTCCGTTGTTTGTAGCAGAAAATATCAATAATATAAGGAAATTGCGGTTCAATGCATCGATTTTACTACGCTACGCCCCTCACCCTCACTTTTGGGTGTTCGAATTGCGGTCGCTTTAGGTTCGTCACTTGATGTTCTCCCAATTTTGCTGTTTTTTTAAGTTATTTTTTTTGATGGTAGTGAATTTATTTATATTCCTTAAATGGTTGTCCTTGTTGTTGCTTTGTTGGTGGTTTCTCACTAATTATTTAATATTTTTTTAACTATATACTGTTTCTTTTTTTGCTTTATTTAAATTAATTTAATTTTAATATTAATTTTAAATTTAAATTTACATGTACATTTTATTTAATAAGTTTGTTGGTTGGTTGATTCCATTTCCATTTGCATTTTTAACTTTTTACTGCTTTTGGTTGTAGTATATATTTTTGTTTTCTTTATCTACTTTGAATACGCAAGTTTTTCTTTAAACAACAACAATAAACGTTGTTGAAAATATTTATAATTATAATTACACAGAAAACAAAAAGGAAATATCAGAAAAAACATTAACGAAAAAAATAGAAAATCGTTAGTAATATAAACGCAAAAACACGTAGACAAGTAAAGAAAGGGAATGAAATTCTTAAATTTCACAGCAAAAACATTTTTTCAACAAAATAGGTTAACTACACAAAAATGTTGGCAGCGACGTTTGTTGCGATCTATCTCCGATGTGCAAAAGTTTTTGAGATATTAATATCATTCCCGTAGTTATTTTCTGATCATCATTTTCTTCATGGCGAAAAAAGAAACCCAGACTCTTTCTTTTTTAGTTTAACATTAGGTTACTTTATGTATATACAAATATAGATTGTAGGATTTTTTTGTTTTTGTTATCGATAATGGTCTTAGTTCCCCGAAAATAAATAAAAAATCATAAAGTAACATAACATAAATAGAATAAAGCTGGGTTATATGTACATACAATATAGATAGACATACATATAGACGAAAAAGTTTTCGGCTTGACGCATGTGGAAAATGTTGGGAGCTGTGATAGCGCAATTACTTGTCTCGCAACAATTCAACTGTCCCAACCAATATTCTTTCTTCGACGTTAGGAATATTTCGATCTTAAAAACCAGCCGCGCGCTTGTGATACATTCTTCTCAATTTGCTTTGGCTTTTTTTTCTTATAGCCAACACATTCGATTCTGCTTGAGATCTGCTAACGCTGCTAAAATCATGTTGTTGTTTATCTGTGGCTGTTGTTGTAGTACTTGTTGCTGTCGCTGATTCTTTTCACCTTTACTTTCTTTGGTTGTTGTTATTGTTATTGTTGTTCTTTCTGTTGCTGCTGCGTTTATACTATTACAAAATTCTTTGATGAATGTTGCTTGACGCATTTTAATGATTGTTTGGTTGGTTGATTTGTTTGCATATTTAGTTTTAATTGATGTGGATGTTGGATTTGCGGTTGTAATTGTTGAATAAATTTATTTTGTGTACAAGTAAATGGCAACAATAAGACCGTACAGACCCAATACTTCAGCGAAAATGAGAATCAAAATCATACCGACGAACAGACGCGGCTGTTGTGCTGTACCTCTTACACCAGCATCACCAACAATACCGATCGCAAAACCTGCCGCTAAACCAGAGAAACCTACCGACAAACCGGCACCCAAATGAATGAAACCCCTGTGCACGTAATGAGAAGAAGAAAAGGTACAATTAGGAACAGTATTTATCGAGAATTAACACAATAGGTGATATGTAAATGTGTATCTATGAGGGCAAGATGCCAACAAGAAAACGACCCTTACTTGTACAAGGTGTATGTTGTGGGGTCTTCCAAAGCACCAGCAATAAGGACAGCTACGACCAAACCGTAAATGGCAATAATACCAGCCATGACAACGGGAATGATGGATTTCATGATCAATTCTGGTCGCATCACTGACATAGCAGCGATACCAGTTCCTGACTTAGCGGTACCATAGGCGGCTCCCAGAGCTATAAAAAAAAATGTGGAATAAGAATATTAAGCTTAAAATGTGTAAAAAAAAATATAATAATAGCATTTATTCAATAGTGAAATGGAGTAACTAAAATATAGGTTACTTTGAAGAATCCTAATGAATGCCTATTGATTGACTACAATACTTATAATCTTGTTAGTTGCTGGTTTATCTGTATTAGTCGAAGCTCTTCAGTATTCAAATTAAAAAACAAATTAAAAAAAGATGACAAGAAAATAAAAAATATATATCCAAAATAATATATATATATATGTATGTATGTATGTCTATATATGTATAAAAAAAAAATATACAAAATTTAAAAAAAGAAATATATATATATATAAAATAATATACATAAAATATATGTATTTAAAAAAAGTATAAAAATATTATAAAAACGATATTTATACAATTTTTTAAATTCAAAAGGAAAAACATTAATTTCAAACAAATAAAAAACCATTAAGAAAGTTAAATATGTAATTATTAATGCGAATAAATCAAATTTTTTCTTCATTTACCCTTTTTTCGATATTTTCATGATGTGTTTTTAATGTTTTTCTTATAGTCATGCATGTATATTACCCATTCAAGCTCATTTTTTTAATTATTTTCCATTTACTTAAAGTTTAGCTTGTAGAATAATTAGTTCCTTTTAACAAAATCACTTGCAATTTTAATCACATGACAAGCTTCCAATTATGACGAAAATTGAGCAATATTAAAAGAGATTGGTAAAACAAACAAAAGCGATTTTATATAAAGAGAAATATTCAAGTATATCTCAGGACAACTATGAGAGCTTAATACTTGTTTTGGCATAGAGATCCGAGACAAATTGATCAAAAGTGCTTCGCACTAATGAGTCATCGAAAAGAGAGTTTGAAAATAATTTTTTTTTATCACAATCTTTGTTTAAAAGAGGAACGTTATGAGATGGAATAATAAAAACGCAAATAGAATATAAGATATGCCTTGAATAAGATAAGAAAGAAATACGGAATGCTTGATAAGAATAAATTTCTAGAATTTTATAAGGGCCAATTAAACTTTTATGAATTTCTACCAATTTTAAATTCACAAACAAAAGGTAAATATTGTTATTTTCTGATATAAACTTGACTTTTTTACATGCATCATACAATATGCATTTATTTTAATCGGTAATTTTTTTAATATTCATAAATTAAAGTGAATATGAGTACATACATATGTACATACATACATACAGAAATTCTAATTAAGAATACACGAGCGCATATATCGAACTTAAATATTATTTATATACAAGCACATACAATTTGTGCAAAATGAGAAATAACCGGTTTGTAAAAGCAAAAAAAAAAATTTAAAAAAATAAAATCAATTAAGGTTGCAAGCCAGGCGTCAAGCGAATGCCAGTTTTCGCTTAAAGCTTGATACATAACATGGATATTCGAACTGAAAAACGCGTAACATGGAGTGGAATATTTTATAAAAAAAAATATACATACAAACATACAATGAGTACTGCCTTGTTACATAATAGCTTACAAAAATTAAAAAAAAAACTAACATTTGCTAAAAACTTAACTCAGTTTGAGGGACTTTTGTACATATCGATTGTGTTTGTGTATTTTTTTATTTGTGCAAATGACAATATCAAATCGAAGATGCAGAAATTAGCAACTGTCAAAATTGAGTTTATATTTCGCCTATTACTCTCTAACAAAGTTAACGCTTATTGGTTAGAAGCAGAGCGATCGTTCCTCTCTACATTTGTATGAGTAACGTTGAAGATACTCGTGTACACCTATGGGGCAAGGTGGAGTTGGGAGTAAAACGACAAAACTGTTAGGTAGATATGAAATATAATGACAGTCATGTGATTTCTCTGTAATTAGCAAAACAATTTATAAAAAAATGTTTGTATGTATTAACATGTAAATACACACGACTATGTACGAACGTTATTTTGATTAGCTGACAAAAGTTTTATTGAAAGGTATACGAAAAACAATACAAAGTACTGAGGCCGTGCTAAAAAGTGAATTAGGGGGTAACCTGAGCAGTCAAATGGCAGGGCACAAAGACAAATGTAGAATTTTATGAAAATTCAATACAAATATGGAATAATAGCAAATTAATAAATTATAAACCCGAATCATAATCATATCTCATTCCTATAATATGAGTAAAAACAAAGTATATGTGGCGGAACAGTTTCAATCAAGTGAAAAAGAGCCAACAAATCTGTATTCATAATTTCACAATTACTACTAATTGAACTGCTATTCGCATCATCTTTATGTATATATGTTGTCGTCAAACACAAATAAAATCCGACACAAACACAATAAAATGTTTTGGAATTCCCAACAATGTGTATGGATGGGAACAACACATATTGAGTCTGAGACTGACTGCAAGTACGGTGGCCCAGCAATAGCATTACTAAGTTATGCTAAAATGAATTGAATTACTACTCCAAAGCTGTCTATATTTACTCAGGTACAATTTTCATAAAATTCTCATACTTGAAGCAGCAGCCGGCATTTTGTACAACGATGGTTGATGAGCATCACCGCTGCTTCTATATATATATATATATATATATATATATATATATATATATATATATATATAAGAACTATGTACAGATATATATATATATATACTGAATAAAACTGTATATATATTAGCATTAGCTTGGTTAGGAATATGCTACAAACATTTATGTATACTTTATTTTTTTTAATTTCATTTTTCTATAAAAAAATTTGAAAGTAAAATTAGTATGCCAGTGGAGCTTGGCATTGAAGATTGTTGAAGAAAACCGCTTTAATTACTTGTACAACGGTTTAACTAATTGCACATTTTCAACATTTTTTTTCATTAGAATTGCTTGAATGTACGAATATTCATTTATATTCTGAAAACGAGTGAATTATTTCAAGTCGTTGGAAGAGTGATCAAATATATCAATAAAACTTGTTTTAAGCTGGGTTACAATTTTGCAAACCTTGAAATTATTTGAACTTCATTTATTTTTTTAAATTCAAATTTGGGTTCAATTAACCAATAATTTTTGAAGCATGATATTGTCCGAAGCTGTTATTACCGAAACATATCAAGAATATTCATGAATGAATCGAATTGCGAGAGGGTTAGTGGCATTTAAATATATTACAAAACAAACTATCATTAAAAAAAACCATAATTTGTTAAGATAGTGTGTGCGACTGAAACAAAAAAGGGCTGGCACGGCACTGCGTTGAAATTGGTGCCAATAAAATTACAATGAAGCACATTTTTCTTCTTATTTGCATTCTACTTTCTTGTATTTAAATCATATTTAAAGACACTTTACGTCACAAAGACGTAGAGACGTACTAAAGAATGTATTGTTAATTTGAATATGAAGATATAGTCAAAGGCAGTCGACGAAAAAAGAAAACAAAAAGAAACAAGAATTGAAGAGAGAATAAGAACGACATAGAAAAATGCTAGGAATTTCCATCAAATGAGAGAGCAAATCTTATCAACATAGGAATATGTAATTTATTCTGTAAATTATCTAGAAGTACATCGAAAACAGACTAAACGTACAGTTTAATTAAACTGAAAAATTGTAACTCTATGCATAATAAATTATTACGCACTGTTTCATTCCTGTTACGTCATTTCTAGTGGATAAAATTTTTTTACGAAAAAAAAAATATTTTTTTGAAGCAATTTATTTCTTATTGTTTATTTAAAAAAGTTTCTAAACACGCTAGAATTGAAGGCACACTTAAGAGGTGTATCAAACATCAGGGATAGGTATATACATGTACAAGGCAATGCGTATACATACGACATTGTTTTTATACATAAATGAGAACGCACAAAATATGCTATAAATTAATATAAATGACAATAAGAGTGCGTAAGCACGAAATAGAAATATCGACGATATTTTCATTGACTAAATAAATGTCAATTGATGACGTTTTCGAAATTAGTTGTAGTTGTAAGTGAGATTCAACCAGAATGAGTTCTCTTCAATGTGAGAGACGGAGGTCATTGTTATATGGTTTATATGCGCCGTATTGCCAATTTATATTTTCTGTTACAAATACTTTCCAATTCGCACAAAGCCAATGCAAGAATTATTAAGATAATCACACGAACAGCTGGCAAATTAGTGGATGGAATACAAAAAATTGAGATGAACGATGAACGCGTAAGCGTCTAGACACGCTCGTGTAATATATAGCATACACAATTTCGTGGGCGTTCCGGTTGTTAAGGCGAAAAAGCTGGTATTAATAACTTCTTCAATGTCACGTGACACGCTACCGTTTATTTAACATTAATAATTTTAAAATAAAAACTAATTATTTACATATATTAAACAAATAAAGCCGTTTATATATATTCAATAGTTGAAAAAGGGCGTTTACTCGTTCAGCGATAAGAAAATTTTATAAAACGCGTCCGCAAAAAAAAAATTACAACGATTATAAATATATAGAGCTACGGTAAAGTAAATAAGAGGAATCTGGAGCATATAATAATGTATATACTTTTCATTTTGAATAAACAGAAAGTTCAATGAATCAAAGTTTTTAAAGTTATGCAAAGAAATTCGAATGAATGGACAAAAATATTCTCTAAAGATGTACTATGATAAATTAGCTACTTACAAATTTATATAAAAAAATAACAATATTTGTGATATATACAAAATATCGAATTAGATACTTTGTTTGAAAATATGTCACTTAAATTTCCCATATGGTCTAGTGGCAGGATAACTAAATGTTAATTAACATAATGGTTATAATAATAATGTATAATATCTAGATAATATGACTTAAGTAAAAAGTTCAGTACTCTATCGTCCAAAAAATACAGCTACTCTGTCCATTATTTTGCTGGTTACTCTTTCCGTAAGCTTTTCATAGTGCCGAGTGAGTGAATGAGTCAAAGATGATTAGTGTGTCATATCATATTTAACAAACGGAGAGCTGCAATTTTTATCGACGAAATACAAAGAAACCGAAATGTGGAAATAATATGAAGCGAATAAGTGAATAAATGAGAGTAGAGAGGAATAATACAAAAAAGCAGTTACTCATGTGACTGGATAACCTATTCGACAACAGCAAAAGATTGTAGGCCGGCGATACGTATTGTTAGCATTGTAAGCTAATATAGTGGGATGAAAATAGTTCTAATTTATACATTAAAACAATTAATTATATAATTATTTTCTTTTTGCTCTTCCTATCTCATAAAACACGGTTATCTCTAAATAAATCACTACCCAAGTGATATCAAAGAAATTCTCATAAGTAAAAAAAAAATAATACGTTAAAATAAAAAAGGTTGAGGACTAACATTACATAATATAAAGGCATATGCTAAACTTAAATTTATAATATTAGTTTAGAATAGATGGATTGTTATTAAAGCTGGAAATATTGAGAACTAGGTTAGAAGCCTAAATGTTTACTCAAACTGCAGTTGAACTGTAGACAGCTAACGTAAATTTTCTTATCAAATTTATTATCAGTTAACCATGTGATATGAAGCAATAATGAGCATGTGATTGCTGCAAATGTTAATCACGCTCACATATGGAATTTAAAGTTAAAATCTGATTATTTGCATGCAATAAAAAGCGCTGTACAACGACAATTGCACAACCAAAACCTTACATTCAAGGGATTTCAAGCACTGGCCACTCTACGAGGCAAAGAAACATGAGCAAGTCTCATGACTTGTCATAATTAACGACATTGCATATGTTTACTTATAGAATAATTTTAACCATACGCAGCTTAACCTTAAAAATATGCACACCCATCCTACAGCGTATGTAAAAAAAAGCCCAAAAGCGTTACGTTAAATTGGCTGGTTATTCGAGCTCCAACTGGCGCTTATTGTTGACTCATTTTACACTGATGAGCACAATATTCTCTTCTCACTCTCTTATTTCATTTTTTATTAACTGACCAATTTTGGTGCTCTTTTCAACTTAAATAAAAAAAAAGAGCGCGTGATGATAAAAAAAAATATTGGAGGTTCCTTTTGTACAGCACAGAATTAAAAGGGAATAAAAAATCATGACCGCTGTTCACTTCACTTTGTCATACTATTTTCTAATAAACGCAAGCAATTAAGTTTCTTTTTAAAAAGTCCAAAGCAAATTGTATGTTAAAATATCCATATCCTATACATAATCTACAGTCACAAAGGAAATGTCATTATAATTACTACTACCTTTCTTTAATTTCTACAGTATACACTCCCATTGCCTGTCCACCTTTATGCCTTACTTTTGCTTATTTTCCTTTCATACCTCTTTCTTTATACACATGCCAAAATATTCGATTTTTCATACACTTCTTCATATAAAATGTAAAAAGACATTGAAACTAAACTTCGACTTTTATAAAACTAATACAAACTGCTTTTTATTTAAATATGGCTTCCATGCATTCGTAACTTATGGTGGTTGTGGGTTTTACTATTTCATTACCACCCACATATAAATGAAGGAAAATACGAACCTACTTCAGCAAATAATTATGAGCCCTGTCTGACAAAAGGAGGTGACTGTGTCATGACTAAGGTCCAGTAGTTATCCAATAAGGAAGTCACTTTCGATGCTTTGCATATGAGCCTTTTCGCAATCGTTTTCGCACTACTACCAATTATGTCTCATTGTTTTTTCCCGTTATAGATACTACCTAATTTTGATGATTTGGTTTACAGTTTACTTACCACTGAAAATGATGGCTGAGGCTGCTCCCATGACGCCAAAGAAGGGTCCGTAGATTGGGTTATCGCTCTGTGCATCAGACATGATTCTGTTTTGTTGTGTATGTGCGGGGTGTTTTGTAAGTTTTCTAGGAAAAAGAAAATTTATTTGATTTTTACGATAGGGCTTGCTGCTCAAAAGATGTGCACTCGTTTAATATATATTCTTTATATGTATTATTTAATTCGGTTCTTTTGTATTTGTGCTGAAGAAGGGAGTTTCTGCAGTGTACTATTCTTGTGAATTTGTACGCTTCTGTATATGCTATTTTATTATATATTGCCTTGATTTATAATATATATTATTCGTGCTTTTATATTTAAATAAGGAATATATAAAATTTATTTTGCGTTTTTACTTGATAGCACTTTTCAAATTTCTGAGCTCTTCACTTTGACTGCTGCTTGTCGACTACTGTTTTTGCCTTTCTCTCTTCGATTGTTTCGCTTCGTTACGTCTCGTTTTTTAATTCCGTCTCGTCGTTGACGTCGGCAAAGTAGCTATCACCTTCTATCGCGGCAGAGTTCGTATTCAAAAGATGTACTTTTTTTACTAGTAATTTTTCCTCGTTTCTTCTGCTGCTGCTAATTTTTCTCTTTATATTCCCGACGTATTTTGCACTTTATCTAATTTTTATTCTCTACTACACTTGCCGATTTGTATTCGATTATTTCTGTTACCGTCGCTTACCTTTTGTCTTTGATAGCTACAAAACGTAGAAGAGTAATTACTGTTGGAAGAAGTACAGATTTTGATTAAAATTAATGAAGTTCGTGGTTTTCCAAAGCTCACTTCTTGGATTTTCAATATAAAACTATTTTTCGTGCCTATTTATTTATATCACATTCGCAAGTCACTACTGTGTACTCTTTGCGCTCACTCTAGCCAATGCAAAAATGGATATGCTCCTTTTTTTCAACTTTCTTTTGCTTTACATTTCAGCAAATGTCGTGGCAATTTCTGCGCCTATACTCTGCTCTGCTTTCTTGTGTATTCTTTCCAATTTCCCCAACCAACATACAAAGCGAATCGACTAGTCTATTCAGTTTTACGCTGAAGAATTTTCAGCAAACAATACTAATTCAATTCAGCTGTAATCCTCCCCTGCACTATATATTCCACAACTTCAACACATTACTCAGACCGTTTATAACTAATTGAGTCATATAATATTATCACAAACTTCACATTTTCAACACTCACTTGACTAACTTGTGGTTAGCTTTTGGCCTTTCTTGGGTCTTGACTGGTAATTTCCTGCTAGAGCGTAGGAGTTCGAACTAGAACTGGTCGGTTCGGTCGCTGACAACACTGTGAGTGATTTTAATTTCTTCACTAAACGCCAAACTCCGCCGCTGATCAACTCGCTGCTGTTCAAGCCACTCACAATATACACCTGCTATCACACTCTACAGTTGAACTTATTATATAGCTCAGCCGTTTACCCTAACGTTATCACCCGACAGTATGGAGTATGTTTGTTGCATGCGCATGATTAGAATATTGGTCATATGACCAAAAGTCCGTGAAAGCCGGATTGGGTCCGGGTGAAGGTGTGCTGAGAAGGAGGAAACGTCACACAGCAGCACGTACGAATGCAATCGTATGTATGAGATTCATATGAAAATTTTCCCTTTAAACTGCGCGTGACCATAAATTTTTTGTATTTACTAACGAAAACCAACAAACGCAACTCTATGGTTGTGTCAAGTCTTGGTTTTTGTAACTGGATTGAATGATGTTTCTAATAAAGAAATTATTATAGTGAAATTATGTTGTTTTCATTTTATAGTTAATGTTAAGTTAGCCATTGAATTTTAGGAGGGGAAGCAATCATAAATTCACATGCTACCTTATTGAAGCGGGTGCAGGGTGGAGAAGCACGTGAGAGTTAAACTAAATGTTATTTTGCTCTTTCTCTCGCCGACGGAATGAAAGGTTTTGTACATATATCTATCTTCTCGTTAAATTTTATTGACAGCTCACGTGAAGCAGGGTTGTATTTTACAAACTTCAACCAATAGATGGCGGCGCAGTCTGTTGAACGGCAATGAATTTTATAATGTTATAATTTAAATGATTTAATTTTATTTGATTTAACCTATCCAAGCTTCTGCTAGAATACTTCAATAAGGTATACTGGTTACAGAAATTGGATTTTAGAAAATGCAAAAAAAAATTGAAAATAGAAAGGAATAAAAATTAAGTTTTTCTACTAATCCTATAGGTGGTTTTTAATCGTTATTGTTTTTTTTTTTATTCCCAAAATTAAATCTTATTAGACAGTAAATCAAAACTTGTTTAGAATTTGTAAATTTCTTTCAAATTTATACCAAATATGGAGCCAGAAATGAAAACAGAATTCCGCAGAAAATGCCACTTATGAGCATGGCACCGGCAAACATGCCTGCTTTAACTTGGAAATTTTGTTCCACTGTCTGTGGTGTGTACATCATCGCTAGGGCACTATAGTAGCCGGAAGTGTAGGCCATTAACACGCCGATTATCCAATAGATCCAATCATTTTTTATTATAACCGGAAGTCTCCTGTCCACATTCATAGGCAAGTAGTTGCAAAACAAATATAACGGTATGAAAATTAAGCGCAAGACTACCGGTATTATTAAATATTTAGATCCAGGCCATTGAATCCAATATGATGTCAAACTGCCCAGCATTGCAAATAAGTTGAATGTCAAAAAGCAGGTATATTGTACATACATTACGGGGTCCTTTATGAAAAAATCTGCTGACGAGGCTTTAATATCGGAATTTACCGCTGGAAAAACTGCTAATGTGACGAAAAAAATCATAAACACATTTAGGAGTTGTATGGATGCTGTTTTGAATATGCTCCAATAGGGTATATCCGAGTTCTTAACATTTTCGTTATCGTCTGCTTTCCTTGAAAGTTCTTTGTAAATAAAGAACTTATTCAGTGGCAGACCTAAAAAGGTATCAAAACATAACACCAAAACTATCATTGCCGTTATGAAATAATATATTGCAGCCGTTCGAGTTGTGGAAAATATATAATTGCTGCTAATACTTATCAAAGACACTAGCAATCCACAAATGTTGCAACCCAATATTACGCCGCCGGTGTATCTGAATGGAAATGTTGCAACCATGCCGTATATAGAATTTTGATAAACAGCCCCAGCCATATTTAGAATAACCACTGTAATCATTGTTATCCAAAAGAAGGCGCCAGAGCAATTCGAAGAGTCTATCATGGCCATAACTACCGTTAACACAAACAAAGCCAACTCGACTAAGATGCTGAGGCTCATACGCTTCTTCAAATCTCCACCCAAGTTCAAAAACACATTAAGCCAATTGAAAACGACGTTTGGAATTTGAGCCGCGAAACCATGATATTGCAAGAAGTTCGCCGCATAATTTGATACACTAGTTGAATTTTCACTTCCGCCTAATTTGTAGCCAACATAATAACTTTTAGCCGTTATAAACATATTCCACGGCATTAACGTGCCAATGCCATGTAGAATGAATATAAGTAAAACAATATTCCATTTATCTTTGGGTGGTTCCATAATGGTAAAATATTGAAATATCCAAACAAAAGAAAACGTATTTATTGAAAACGAGAAAAAAGCAAGCCTTGTTAGCACAGAGTGACGGTGGTGAAAAGTTTTACAATAACCTTGCTTGTTGATTTAAGATTAATTGAAGGGTTTTGTTCGAGAACATACCCATTAACTATGGCGCCCTATTTAAATGGGTCGGACTATAGGGAGAGGGATGAAAGTCAAGTGCCTGATTCACCTCAACTTGACTGCAAGGATGAACCCTGGAATGGAATTCCATCAGATATTAATTTTTGTTATAAGTTTGTGAGCGAAAGGCTCATTTGTAATTTATTTCTCTCTTTAATTTTCTATGTACACACCGAAAACAAGTAAATTTTGTAAAATTAAAAAATAAAGCTAATGATAACCTATCTCAAGCATAACATATAAAGTATTTAATGCTTTTCCAAAGCTTTTGTCAAAAGTTTATTCATTGTGATTAGTAACGTTCGCGGATCCTCAGCAAGTCCAGCACCGACCATGGCGTTCGCAAACAACTGTTGTGTCACCAAATCTGCAAGCTCAGGATCACTAGTGCGTAGCTTATTTAGTTTCTTAATGATTTCATGTCTGTAAAAAGAATAATTTTAAAATTAAAACAATCGGTTCTTTAAACTCTTTGAATTGAATATTCACTTGGGATTTATTTCTAGTTGTGGCTGCAGCAAAGCGAAGCGATTTTCCTCTGGCAACTGATGGCTTTGTGTACGAATAAAATGACGCGCGGCAGCCATTTCTTCCACTGTAATCACACATGGGTGTGAGTCCAGGCGTGTCGTCACTTTCACATTCGCCACTTTCCCATTAAGTTTCTCGCGTATCCATGGTAGAAGCTCATCTATTTGTGAGCGTAACAAACTGCCCTCACCATAGTCTGTTACCTTTTCGCCTGCATCATCTTCACGCATCTCCTTCTCAACAGATACTAATTTTTTACCTTGGAATGTGCCTAATTGCATGAGAACCAACTCATCGTAAGGTTCGTAACAGAACAACACTTCAACGCCACGTTTCTTCAAGTTTTCATAGTAAGGTGACGATTCCGCGAGTACGCGATTTGGTGCAGCTAAATAGTAAATATCCTTTTGTTCGCCTACATTTGTGCAATAGTCTGAAAGGGAAATACGATTGCCATCCGAATTTTTCGATGAATCGAAACGCAACAGTTTGGCAATGCCTTCTTTTTCGTTGTGGTCATTTGAAGTAACGATGCCCTCTTTGAGAAAAAGACCATAATCCTTATAGAAAGCAGCATACTCCTCAGGTTCTTTATTCGCACGTTCCTGCAGGAATCGCAAAACACGACTTGTCAACACGTTGGAAAGCTTTCTGTTAAAATTTTATGCTGTATATTAGACAAAGTGTTATCTAAATTTATAAATTAGACTAACTTGATTAAAGCGCTGTTTTGTAACAGTTCGCGACTCAAATTTAGAGGAATATCTTCAGAATCCACAACACCTACGGGTAAAAGAAAATATATATGAAAATCGTTCATTTTATTTCTTTTTTAACTATAAAATGAATACCAACCTTTAATAAATCGTAGCCATTTGGGTACCAGGTTTTCTGTTTTGGACTGTATTAAAACTTTGCGAGTGTAAAGTGCTACACCCACATTAGCATCACGAGACATATCGAATAAACCGGGTTTACCTTCAGGGAAGTACAGCAAAGCACGTATGCTAAGAGGTACATCAGTCTGAGAGTAAATTAAAAAAAAAAATTAACTTAATGAAAAATTTCCCTTAAGCTTTCACCATTAAATGTCTACCTTGTAATGCAACACGAACCGCGGTGTGTCAAAAGTATTGCCAATGAATCTATAGAATTCATTATGCTGTTCTCGTGACACATCTTTCGGTTCCATTAGCCACAGTGGTTGAATATCATTAGCCCGTTGACCATTCAAAAATATAGGTGAGCCAACAAAGTTACTATACTTTTTGATGACCGCTAGATAGAAAAGTAAAAGTTAATAAGTTATTCAAATATTTCCTCCATCATTGCCACATCTGTACCCCTAATACGATCCTCATCTGCATACTCTCTACATTCCGGTTTCAAATGTATAACAATTTTTGTACCATAAGCTACACCATCGGCTTCTTGAATTTCATATGAGCCCGAGCCGTCAGACGCCCAACGCAAGCCTTGTGACCCCACTTTAGATGAACGCGTAAAAACTTCCACTTTATCAGCGACCATAAACGCGGAATAGAAACCAACACCGAATTGGCCAATTATATTCGAGGAATTCTCAGTACCGCCACCAGCTTCTTTCACCTGCTCCAGAAATTTTTTTGAACCGCTACGCGCAATCATACCAAGATTATTGATGAGCTCATCACGTGTCATGCCAATACCAGTATCCTGAATAGTTAATTGCATCGATTGTTTTTCTGTAGCAATATGAATTTCCAATGGTCGATCTGTTTGCGCAAAATCTTTCTCATTTTCACCAGCGGTATGTACACTATAGCGGAATTTCTCCAGCGCATCACTAGCATTGGAAATTAATTCTCGCACAAACACTTCATTCTCTGAATATAGTGAACGTGCTACAATATCCAATAGCATGCGTGTTTCAGCTTGAAATTCATGCTTATCTGCATCGCCAACCGGCTTTTCTGTTTGACGGATAATGGTGTGGAAACGAGATTTTTCATCTACCTTTGCCGATGCTGTTGATTCTGAGCTCATGCAGCGTGCAACTTGAAAGACTTAATTAAAGTTAAATTAATTAAGAATTGCAGTTTTGCAGAAGTTGAAATAGTTTGTCCTACCATTTGTACCAAGGTTTTTGTTCCAGCGCAACGACCATGCTGCCTGTGGGCTGCCGATTATGTTACGCGTTGCATAACGTTGCACCTGCGCTGATGAATTAAAAACACGACAGAGACGTGAAGTAAATGACATCCTTTCCGAAATTTTCTCTAAACTTTACAATTTTTTTTGGTGATAATTGTTTTTCAATAAGAAATTCAAATACAGAATCTTTACTCAATTCACATGTAAAATTATCTATTTGACAGCACTCTGTGTCAGAGAACGTATAACATATGTACATATGTATATAACAATGTTATACGTTCTCTGGCGAAATCAACTGTTTAGGCAAAGAACGTATATTAATATACGTTCTTTGGTGGAAGTATATTTTTTAAGGGGGGTTCATAAGCTTGAAAACCCCTTTTTTTGCAGAGAAAATTTATGATAGTCCATTGCATATTTATAAATTTGAAAGGAATTAGCTTGTAGTCCTATAAGCAGAAAAATTCACGATCTGCTGCTATAAACCTCTAGATATAGATATGAACATAATATCAGACATGCTGAGGTCAGGAAGAGTTATTAATTGTCTGGGTGTAAGACCAGACCCCATCTCACTGCAGTTAGAGTCTCCAAACTCATTTCTCAGCTTAGTATACTAATGGCTAACGTAGGAGGACCGATTCAAGAAAAAAAGAAGTTTGTAATGGCGACAACTCTCAACATCTTACTGTAGGGAGCCGAACAATGGACGGACTCGCTCAAGAAAGATAATAGGAGAATGGTACTGGCCAAAGAACACCGTACTGGGTGTAAGACCAGACCCCATCTCACTGCAGTTAAAGTCTCCAAACTCATTTCCCAGCTTAGTATACTAATGGCTAACGTAGGAGGACCGACTCAAGAAAAAAAGAAGTTTGCAATGGCGACAACTCTCAACATCTTACTGTAGGGAGCCGAACAATGGACGGACTCGCTCAAGAAAGATAATAGGAGAATGGTACTGGCCAAAGAACACCGCACAGAAGTTTTGAGTGTACCGTTGGCATACCCTACAGTATTAGGTGAACATAAAATCTTTAAATACACTCGCTGGCAGGACGAGAGAATAAAACTTTAAACATAGTTAGAGAATTAAGAGCAAAGAATGTAGTCTCAATTAGGCTAAAAAGCGAAGTGAATTAGGAAACGTACAGGAGTTCGCAGAAGAAGTACTAAAAGCGAAAAAGCGGGACCTGGACGAGGATGGCGAAATGTAATCTCATAATGAGAAAAATGGAACAATGGAACACAAGGTGGGCAACGGTTCCTTAGAGTAGAATTTTTAGTGATCTGAAAATGGTACATATTAATGTGACGACGCAATGATGATAAGGAAGGCAATGTTTTTCTCCTAACTAGCAAAAAAAAGAACACTTCCGAAAGTCCTGCGGTTTAATGTTTGGTTTTCAATTTCTTCGGCGGCGTACTCAAAATTCAGCTTTTAACATTTCTCCTAATATACAGACAGACATATGTATGTATTTTTATTTGCTTCATAATTTCTTTATAATATTATAAAACTCAGAAAAGTGCGTTAGGTTCTTACCGTGCAAGCTCGGTTGACACCTGCATGCTTACCTCCTCGTCAGCTGTTTGGCCTTACGTCATACTTGTACCTGGTTTATGCAGCATTTAAAGTATTTCTTATTATCATACGACTCTTTTTGTCATACTACCAGGGGCAAAGCTATTTATCTATTATTTTTCACGCGCCGCAGACTGCGAGCGCTTAGTAGCAGCGTATGCAGGGAAAAGTATTAAATTGTAGTTACTATGGGTGGGGCAGAGGGTATGATCAACCACACATATATGTACATATGTATGTACTTGTGTTAATTGGAAAGATAAATAAAAAATGTTTGACGCTTGTGTTTGCGACTACATAATTTATTTATTCTTGCTTTTTTTTTGTGTTGTTCAGCTTTTGCTGTATTTGTGGATTACCAAAACTGATCAAACTGATCGTGAAGGCCTGTCAAAATTTATAAAGAAAACACCTCATTATTTATACAATCAATTTACAATTCTATATATTTGTTTAATAATTATATTACTCGTATATGTATGTAGTTTTATATGTAATTACATTAGAGATTTTTCCATTATTAATCATTATTTACGATACTAGGTATGTATGGCTATTGATAAATAATTGTTTATGTATTAATTTATGCTTTTAGTTAAAACGTTTATGTATAAGTGTTTGTAATATATTAAAAAAAAGTACGAAAGCAGTTTAATTTAAATAATGAAAAGTATTTAAGTTTAATGAAAAAAAAAATTGAAAACTTTTTTTCTTACTCTTTACATATTGTAATAAAAAATTATTTCTCAATATAATATTATTCTTTTTTTCCTGCTTTTTCCCCTAGAAAGCGATTGTTTACTAAAAATATTTATTTTGCTTGGTTTAACTTAAGATAATTACATACAAAACACATGTATTGTACTCCAACTACGCAATGGAAAGGCGCTATTTACACTATATATACACACACTTGTATATTAATTTACTTTTTATTCATACGACACTTAAAAGCGAAATATATGTATGTATATATTTTTTATATATTAAATCTTTAACTCATTTTTATTTTTAATATTACATTGTTTTTCCATTTTTCTTTTAGAAGTAAATTTAGCGAGGCATACTCATACATATACATTTTAACTAAGTGACTGTTAAGTTAGATTAAAAAATATATTTTGATTTGGCTACGAATATGCCTCTTTACTTTCATAATAATCTCATTATGTACTCTGGGAAACTTCTTTTATCAAATATAAATTTTTATATTGACAATTTTTTTTAGCACAAAAAAAATGAAATGTCTTGTGAAAAGTTGATTTAAAAATTAAAATAGAATATTTTCCAATTGTTTTTGGTAAGAAAATATTAAAAAAAAAAATAATAATAACACTACCATTTGTTTATCATTTTCCACACTTCAGTTGTTAAAAAGATTAAAAAACGTGTTATGTTAGTTATTTTGAAATTCCACGAAAATTTTGATATTTTCTTTCTATAATTTTTATTTAATTTGATTAATTTTTCTATTGCAATGTGAAAAATTTAATTTTGTTTCCAATATATGTATGTTGATTTTCTTTCTTTCAAGTTTTCTTTTTGTCCTCGTGACTGTAATTTTCTCTTATGTTTTGTAATGTTTTATTGCATATTATTAATGTATGTAATGTATATTTTATGAATTGATTTTTGTTTTCAACTTTTAGTTTTCCCATGCAAAATTTGAGGTAGTTCTCTATACCTTATCTAGCTGTTCATTTTTATTGAAAATATTTCTTTCTGTTTAGTTTAAATTTTTAAATTTAATTTTATATGGTTTTCTAAAACTTTTACATACACCCACTTTGCTTGGCGCGTTTTTGTAGTTTAGATAATTTTTTTTTTTTTGGTTTCTTTTATTTTTTTACATGAAGGCAAATTTTGTGCGCTCAATCGTTTTACCTTATATGGAATCTTTATAAACTTACGAACATTTAAAGTAATATATTGATTGTTAATAACAGCATTTTGGGTAAAATAAAATACAAAAAAAAAAAAACATTATAAAAAAAAACCAAAAAATCCATTTACGTGGATCTCCAAAGCCTTTTAATCAATAATTATTGCTAAATTAAGTTCATTATTAGTGTAATAAGTTACTTTTAAAAATTTTCTTGCTTCACCTTGTAGCATTTTTGCTTGTATGTAGTCTGATAGTTGTTAGCTGTCAAATTGAGCAGTTGGCAGCCGAAAGTCAAAATTAAGAAATTTACTGCAAAATAAATTTTTGTCTCCCAAATTCGCTTGGGCTCGACTGGAACACACTAAATTCTTGAACCAGAATGCAAAGAGTCTAAAATTGACAGTTGGGACAAATTTAAATTAACAGTGCAAATTTAATGAAAAATTATTACGACTTATAAGTTTTTTAAGTACTACATTTTTATTGACAAATATATTTAAAATTTACTGGATTGTTTTCAAGTTATTGCTTTCTGTTACGCCAATGATTGAATTCGAATATTTGTACACATACATATGTATATAGTATAAAATGTATAAAAACCATCATTTTGTGAATGTTAAATATCTATTTGGAAAATATGTGGCTAAGTGCCTTGAAGAATTAAACGATTATAAATAAAAAGTGGTAAATAAAAATATTATGTAAGGCAGAAATTACAGACGAATTCGGCTTAAATGTTTAACATAATATTTTTTTTTTCGATCTTTATAAAATTTTTGATATAGTTAAATTTTTTTGGTTATTTTTTTAAATTATTTGTTTTAAATTCATCTTAAATTAATTTAATTTTATATTATTTTTTTTTGTTTCATCTCTTTTTATCTTTTTTTTATTACATTTAATTTTTTTTAATTTATTTATTTTCATATTATTTTGTTTTATTATTACTTTATTTATGTTGTCATATTATATTTCATTTTTATTTTTTATTTTACTTGAATTCTTTATCTTCAATTTAAAATATTTTTAAGTTTATTTTATGTTGTCTTATTTTGTTTCATTTTTACTTTTTATTTAACTTGATTTTTTTGTTTACAATTTTATATATCTTTTACTTTATTTTATAATATAAGATTTATTAAAATTAATTTTATTTGAGATTTTAATATATTATTATATCTTTAATTTAATTTACTTTCTTCAGTTAATTTATTTAATTTTATTTTTTATTCTATTTTGTTTCATTTTATATTGTTAATTTAATTTTTTTAATTTGATCTTATTTTTTATTTTATTTATTTACTTTAGTTGCTTATATTTTCTTCCTTTACTTTTTATTTTTAGCTTTATTTAATTTTAATTAATATAATTTTTTTAACTTCCCCATTTTGTTCTTTAATTTAATTTAATTTTTTTATGTCGTTTTATTTAATTTTGTAACTGATTTTATTTTTTTTTCTTATTTACATTTCTTGTATATTATTATGTTGTTATATTTCATTTTTATATGTTTCTATTTTGGTTTTTAAATTTAATTTTATTAGATTTATTGTATTTTATTTACAATTTTTGAATGTTTTAATTTAGGTTATAAATTTAATTCATTTTCTGTTCCTTTTTTTTATTTTTTTTATTTTTTAAATTTTATTTTATTTTATGTTGTCTTGTTTTATTAAATTTTAATTTTTATTTTTATTTCACGTTATTTTATTTTGTATTTAATTTTATATATTTATTATTTTGATTTAGTTTTTAATTTTTATAGTATGAATTTTATTTTAGATACTTTATTTTATTATATTTTTAATCTATTTCTTATTAGATTTTATTTTCTTTTATTTTGTTTTGTTTAATTTAGTTTAATTCATAATTTTATTAGCTAATTTTTTGTTTGTTAATTAATTTAAATTAATTTTATTTTTATTATTTATTTTTTATTTAATTTTATGTTTTTATTCTATTTAATTTGATTTATAACATTCTAACAAAAATTTTTGAAATAGTTTTCCACATAATACAGTATATGGCATAAAAGTTTTGAAAATTTTTTATATTCCCCAAGCCGCAAATTATTATGATTTTCTTTAAGCAACTCCAGTGAATTTGTGAACTCACTTTTTTTTTAATTTTTTGTTTTCTGCAATACCTATGCCAATATTATGAGGGTTTACATATATATATATATATATATATATATATATATATATATATATACATATATATATGCTTTATGTTTTACTTTTAATATATTTTTTATATATTTATTTTCTATTATTCATTTGTTTTTTTTTTTTTATGACACACATACACATATGTAAGTATATATTTAACATAGTTGATTTCAAAAAAGAAAAAAAAAATATTTTGTTCACTTGCACTACTTGTGTCATTATTTATATGTATTACTAAGAGACAACATTCATGGTTACATTCATAATGATATTTTAGTATTACTAATTATGTTTATATACTATATGTATGTTTGTATGTATGTATTTTGTTTGACAAATCATTTGAAATTGGATTTGTTTTAACCCTTGTTAGTGTTTTCCTTACATTAATATATATATTTTTTTCATTCAATTATTAATTAATTAATAACTAAATAATTTATTTATTACTGTTTTCTCGTTTTTGTTTAATTAAAGCAATCAGTCAATTTCTTCATTTTGGCAGTGATGATATACTTTTTATCGTTTATTGATTTTGCGACTAATGTTTAATTTTTTTAATTTTTTAATTTTTTAATTTTTCAATTTTTAATTTTTAATATTTAATATTTACACTTACACAGTTAATATGTACTTGCACTTTGCGCCTTGCCTTCTGTGCGCTGATATTGAATATAAAATAAAAAATATAGTCCATAAATTGATAAATGGAAGATGGGATATTATTAACGAAAAAGGGAAGTGTCTTTGCATTGTTTTTTAACAAAAATAAAAAAATAAATTATAAAATAAAATAAGGAATAATAATTAAATAAATAATAATATAAAAAAAGGAAATAATATTGAAAAGAGAAATTGAATTTGTACGTACCTCAGTTGCTTTTTTAGCAAACTTTTTTTTTTTGCATAAAAACCCATCGCGTGTTTATTCTCTATTTTCGTTGAATATAAAACTAATTTAATAGTCATTAATGCCATTGAAATGGTAATTATCATCCATCAAATCAAGACATGCAAACAATAGCATTGCCGAAAGTTGATAAGCAGTTGTGAGGCAAAGTAAACTTACAGTAAGGCCTCCTTTCAACGGTACTTTAAGAAATATTTGGTTCGTTGGAATTTTTTTCATTTTGCGTACAAAAAATGGCACTGAAACCCGAGCACATAATAAAAAACTCACTTTAATAAAATAATTAAATAATTTTGCTTTTAGTCTCTCGACACTACGACATAAAAAAGATTTGAAATTTTAACACTTCAAAATCATGACAAAAAAAAAAAAAATCAGCGAAGCTTTTCGCAGTTGCTCCAAATAAAACTCTCACTTTTCGGTAAAAGTAAGGAAGCAACAGCAAGATTTTTTATGTAAGAAAGTGTTCCTCGCAAAATTTTCGTTTTTCCTTGCATTGGCTAGGCTTTCCTTTAGTGTTGCCTACATTTAGGCATGCGGCGAGAAAAAAACTGTTTTAAAGCGTTTACATATAAGTAAATAAATTTATATAAATAAAAAAAGTAAATAAATAAAAACATAAATTTAAAGCAATTAAGAAATGTAAATTAATTACAAAATATATAAATTAAATAAAAAAATAATTAATTCATTAAAAAAATAATAAAATTTAAATTAATTAAAAAAAGTTAAAATTTATTAAAAAAAGTTAAAATTTATTAAAAAAAAATATATTAATTTAAAAAAAATATAAATAAATTAAAAAAAATTTAGTTCATAAAATTTAGTTTTAACAAAATTAATAAAATTTAATAAAAAATAAAATTTTAGTGAAAAAAATATAACTTTAAATAAAAAAAATATATAGATAAAAAAGAATTATGTAAATTTAATTAAAAGAAAAAACAATTTTTTAATAAAAAATGCATGATTATATTTTATTTAAAAAATTTTTTTCTCATATATTTTATAATAATGGATAAAATATGCTAATATTTATGCTTGTATGTATGTATGTAAATAATAAACGTTACATGGCATGCTCTGTAAGCATGTGTGTACGTGTATAATTAATTGTTATATCAGAATGTTTAATGTTTTATATATATTTATGTATATACAATTATTTGTAGCCTTTAAGTTTATGAAAATGCATAAAATGTACGTATATTTATATAATATATATATATAGTATTCATATAAATGATTTACATAACTATGCTTATATGGTATATACTTGTGTATACTTTACATATGAATTTTATATTGTATATACACGTATGTATGTGTGGTGTATTTTGCTAATTGCTAAAAATGTTATATAAAAAAATAATGCTACAAATGGACAAAAACAACAAATAAAGGTTGCAAAATTTCACGTAACGCGAAAAACAAGAACATTTTTAGGCGAAATAATCAAAAAATAAAATATATAAATAAAATATCTTAACTAACTATGTACGTATGAAGATTGTACCAATTATTTTTGTTATATCTCTTATAAAACTCTTTTAGTGTCATCCATCTGTAACTATGCGGAAAATTAAATACATATTTTATATATTTAAATGTAGTTAAAAAAAAATATTTTTCCTTAATTTAAATCAATTTAAAATTTGTTTATTAATAATTTATTTTATTTCTAACTCCGTCGACTAACACGTAAATTTTTGAAAAAAAAAAACTACAACGTACATTCCTAAAACAGTTTTTTGTCTGTTGTCTGTTTGTTTGTATGCATGTACTGTATTAAGTGGCAAACCCCGCCACTTGAGTGTGGCTGTAATGAAAACTTATTTGCAATAAGTCAAAATTATTATACATATTTATTTTTTTTTAAATACAAGTCTTGTTTTTTGCATTTTACTAAGTGCATCGAAAAAATTAAACTAAAATAAAAAATGTAGTATATTAAAAAGCATACTAAACTTAAGCGCTAATGATCTCAAAATTTTACTTTGTGATTTTGACTAATGATCGGCTGAGTTAATTCGTTTATACCCTTCTCTATGCATAAATGTATGTAATATGACCATGTATACATGTAAAATATAAGAAAGTTTTACATACAATTTTTTTTATTTTTACTTTGTTTTACAAATTATGAATTAATTTAAATTTGAATTTTTTTTATTTAAAATATATTTATTTTTCAATTTATAATATGTATGATTTAGTTTTTTATATAAAATCTTTTTTACATTTTCACATTTACAAAAAAAAAAAAACTATTTGCAATATGGAATAAAATGAGTGCTATGCCAAAGCTATTTCTTGTAAAAAAAAAAATAATAAAAATTAAATAGTTTATAAAAAAAAAATCCGCATTTTTTTTTAACAATTATTGCTCACCTTTATAAATCAATAAATCTACGCTATCAACTACGGCACATATTTGTACAGTTACAAGCCTACAATTGTACATACATTTCATGAATTTACTTTTGCTTATATATACCTATTGAAAATCATTTGTGTACTTAAACATAATTTTTTATGCTTTCATTTTTCATTAATTACATAAATAGCAGTTTTAAAAAGTCTTCTTGTAAATTGTTTGCAATGCATGTAATTTATTGGCATTATTGCTAAATAACTGTCAAAATTAAAAAAATAAAAATTTGTAACTATTTTCTTTAATTTAACTAAAAAGAAATTTCATTTGTTCATACGTTTTGTTTATTTTTGTCGTGTTTATTTTTTTTTTCTTTTTTGCAACTTTTCACTTATAACAGGTGGTGGGCTAGTGGTATGCATACATAAATGTAATAATTATGTTATGCTGTTGGCTGGTTGGCATTGCTTGATAAGGTTTTGCTAAAGTGCTTTGCCGTAAGCGTTTGAAATTTTAAAAAAGCTTTTGAGTGGTTTGACGTATTTTGCGCCTGAAAATATGTGCCATATTTGTTCAAAGCCTTTTATACAATTATGAATGAGTTTTATTCATATGTTTAGTTTTTTCTTTTGTAACAAATTTTCAATTATATTCTAAAAAAGTCCAAGCGCTACTACTCAAACCTTTAATGCGCATAGAGCAAAAGTTATGTAAAGATAAAGAAAAAAAAAATTAATTCCAAAAATCAGCAGCTTACGACAGACACTTTATACAAACTTATATATACTTATTTAACAATAATAAATTTAAAATTGTAGCGCAAAACTAACGCCAAAGTAAATATAAAAAGAAAGCTGATCATATAAAATATAAACAAGTTTTTAAAATATTTTGCTAAAGCAAGTAAAAATAATAAAAAAGAATTATTAAAATAAATATATTTTTACAACTTAATTGAAATAAAATTAAATGTATAGATTTATGTTTAAATGTAATGCTTTTACTTAGTATAAACTTGCTCTATATTTTTATTATTCATAAGAGAAATCATTATACGCGCTTTATTACTTATTGCTAAATATCATTTTATATTAATTATGCGTTATGCTACAATAATTTATTTACATAAGTTGCTTTTGTATGCTCATACTTTTTTTACAATACATTTATAAAATGAAAAAATTCTAAAATATAATAAAAAAAAAATGTAGATTATACGCTAAAAATTTACGCGCACTTACGTTGTACATAAACAATTTGAAATTATATTTATAAATTTAAACCAAAAAATACTATAATTAATGCTAAATATGCTAAACTTCTGTAAGATCGCTGCATTGTTGCTACGTTTGTAGTAAAAAGCGTAAAGAAATTAAAAATAAATTCCAATTGCAGACTTGCGAATTACCAGCAACACACACGTACGAGGACAGACAGCGGCACGCATATAATTCTTTGTAGGAGATCATTGAGTAGCTCAGTTAGCACAGTTTCAACTGTTTATCTCTTTTTATTTCGCAATTAATTAAACGTTCAATGGCTTATCCAAGTGTATACGTTTTATTGGCTTACGCGTATGCTTACGCCGCTGCTGTATTTGCATGCGGGAAATTGCAATTACGCTTTGTTGTTGTTGGTTTTGTTGTGAGCTACGCACCGTTTCCACCAATGTAGCCAATTCAGTTTCTTCGCCATCATCTAAAAGATAATAATATAAATTTATTTTAATAGTGAAATTCTGGTAGTATTTTTGTAGCTTTTCTTCAGCACGCCTGCGCATTTATTTAAATAAAACTTACTATTTTCATCCTCTTCATCGCCATCATCGGAATCATCCTCTTCCTCATCCTCATCATCCTCACCAGCAACATCATCGAAGAGATTTGTGGAGTAGGGCAATTTGTAGGCGGTCATCAGTAAACTCTCCACCTTTATCTTCTCTGCTGGACGCATACGTTTGATGTTAACCGTTTTAGTGTATGGACCATCGCAAGAAGGCACCCATTCATCCGCGAGACTACAAATATGAAAAAAAAGGAAACATTTTAAACGTGCTTAGAAGAAAAATCTCTCTGTACTCACATTTCGCGCGGTGTCCAGCGCACAAAACTTTCATAACTGCCTTGTAGTGTTTTGCGGCGCATCATGCTTTGTCCACTGAACGTAATTGCATTGGTACCATTGGTGAGGATGCTTATCTGTCGCAGACGATGTTGAAGACCCTCCATTATGCCGGTATCAAAGAAATCGAACATGCGCGCTGCAATTAGAAGATGCAACGTTAGATTGCAGTCCAAAAAGCAAAGATTTTATAATAACAAATACCTGAGAAAGGCTGACGTCGATAGCGCAATTTTTTGCCATTTTTACGCAGCTGCTTGGGCACAGGTGGATCTGAGGTACGCTTATTTGAGCTCTCCTTGTTTTCGGTTGCAGTAAAATGATTATTAACATGCTTTTGCAGCGCCAACTATGCATGAAAGCCAAAAAGGATTAGTTAAATGAAATGTGTAAATGAAAAATACATTTTTGAATATCAGTCCTTACTGCCGGGTTATTTACCTGTGAACCAAAACGCAGACCGCAACCTTCCACAATGCATTTGAATTGCTTTGAGCCGCCATGCGACAGCACATGACGTTCCAGCCAGCGTCGCGAGCAAGATTCCTTATTGTATACTTTGCAACCAACCCATAGACAAGAGAATGGACCCGTTTGCGTATTGACGTGCAATGTCTGCATGTGATCCAACAGTTTGGAGCAGCTGTCATGCTTCTTATTACATTTATCCCAGTAGCAGACACCATCGTGTCGTTTGGCACCCTTCGGTCCATACCGAAAGCCGCCCGTTTCGGCAGGGAAGCGTATAGTCTTAGGTTGTGATAGTATGGGTGAGATGGCTGACTTAGGCAACAATTCACTGGTTGACTCCGCGAGCTTGGTGTCGATCAGTGTTGGTTTGGAACTGAAACAATTGCTGCTGTTGCTGCTGCTAGTATCAACGATTGATTGTGGTTCGCCACTCACGCTGCTATTGCTGCTGCTGGTGCAGCTATTGGAGTTACTATTATCAATGCTGGTGGGCAAGCTAGATACTGTGGGTACGGCGCTCTTTGAGGTAGAACTTGTTAGTGTTTCCGACAAACTAGCGGCGTTGCTCAAATCATTCGTACTGCCTGGCGTCGGTGGTGAGATTGGCGACTCTGCTACATTGCTGGCAATGGAATTACTATCCGCAATAGCGGCAAGTATGCAATTTGTAATGTTGCTGGCACTTTCAGCACTACCAGCGCTATCGGTGGAGAGTGGTGTGGGTGGCGGCGAATTCGAGTCTATGGAGTTGATGATATTGGCAATGATTTCAGCTTTGCTGCTGTTATTTGAGCTAAGGGGAAAAACAGTAATATATTAATTAACTACAAGGATAAAACTTCGACTAACAACTTACATTGTGCTCACAATGGACTCGCTACTTTCGCTGGCCGTCAAACTGCCCCCAATGCCTGATTCTGGGGTTGGCAAGTCTCGTTTTTCGCTACTTTCGTCATCCACATTGGCATCCTTCTCAATATCTTCCAGTAATGTTGTATGCGATTTTTCGTGCGAGACTGTACCATCGCCCGAATTCGACATTTCAGAAGTGAGATTGGACGATATGCATGAGGATGTCACCATTTCACTCAGCATATCTCGGCCTGTAGCAGCAGTGACACACGAAGCGGACGATTCACAGCTGAGCGATGCTGAATTGGACTCGCATGCTTGTGTTGGCGGTAATGGAGGCGGGGAATTGCGCGGTGATGCACCCGCTGATGACGAGGGTGCTGGCGACGGTGCTGAGGAACAAGAGGCGGACAGGGAAGAGAGTGACGGTGGGGTGGATGCTTCCAGCGAAAGATCGGCGGCCGAGGAGACGGAATTCGAGTGCGAACTGAACGAATATGAAGAATATTCATTCGATTGCGTTATACCGCCGACCGTGCTGGTAGTGGGGTACATTTTTGTGGTGTCTTCCATGAGTTCAACTTTAATATCAGCTGGTAGCATTTGGTTATGCGTTGAGACATTAAAGCTTTCCAATTTGATGCCGCTGTCGGAGGTGCTGGCTGAGGGCACAGTGGCCACTTCGTCCATGGGTTCTTCTTTGATCTTCGAACAAAAGCCCTCACCAATTAGAGTGTGGATTGAGGAGCAACGAGAAGGCGACGATGCGGATGAATATGAAGACATCGATGAATGGCAGAATGAAGGCAGCAGCGAGCTGCACTTGCTAAACGCGTTATTGCTGCAATTGGTATTATTGGTGACATTACCACTGCTTGTATTTGTGGTTGGAGTAGTTATACTGATGGCGCCATTCGAATTTTTAACTAAGTCGAATAGATCAGGTGTTGAAGATGTCGTAGTCGTAGCTGCAGTGATGGTTACTGTTGTCCCTTTAACTGCGGGTGGAGCTAGCTGTGCTGCTGGCACTGACACATTTGCCAAAGCAGATGTCGCCTGAGACGTCGTTACTGTTGGGCTTGGTTTGGGCGCAAGTGGCGGCAGTGACGACAATTTCATGGCAGCTGTTGGATTGATGCCGTTTGGTGCAGTGATTGTTGTTGTATTGGTGGCTGGTGCAGGTGCAATGCTTATAAGAGCTGGCGTAGGCGGTCCAACGGCTGGTAACAATTGTTTCGCTATCGGCGCGTTGCGACTGGTGGATGAGGAAGCAATTGTGCCACTACCACTACCACTACTGCTGCTGCTGAGTGCTGGCACCAACGGTGGCGGCGTTGTGGGCGTGGCAATTATTTTGCCGCCAGACGTGATTTTCGCCTTGGTGCTCGGAAGCGAGGATTTATTGGGTGCTAGCGCGACCGGTACCGGCGCAGGTGCTACCTTGGGCACACGCTTCTGATAGGGTTTAGCGAGTGCGGCAGGTTTGTTCGCCATAGTGTTGATATTTCCACCGGCACTGCTGGATGTAGCCGGCGCTATGGGCGTCGCGCGAGATTTTCCATGTGAAATTGTGACCAAAGGTGGCGGCTGAGAATTAAGTGTTGTAAACTGTGGCGCTGTGGAGGCAGTAGTTGCTTTTACTATTGCCAATTTGGCAGTGTTTGCGCTATTTGCTGGTGACGCCGTCGCGGTGGTCGCATTCATAGACAGTGGCGTTAAAGACGCGGCGGTGGGACCACTTTGTGCCGATGACGAGTTTACCGCTGAGAGTGGAGGTGGCTGTGTGGCTGTTATATATTGCGTCTGCTGCTGATGCTGTTGCTGTTGTTGCAAGAATGCCAACAACTGTTGCTGCTGCTGCTGGAAGTCAATATGTTGATCATGCGCGGAATGAGATTGTTGCTGCTGCTGTTGCGCGGCACTCGCAAAGATGGAACTCAACGCCGGCAACGCGTTCTGTTGTATGGGTTGGAGGGCGGGCAGCTGCTGCGGATGCTGCTGTTGCATTTGCATTTGCTTTTGTTGTTGCTGCTGTTGGTTGGTATTCACAGCCAATGCTGCTGCTGCCTGGGCTAACATAGCCGGCAGTGAAGCAGCATTTAATATGAGACCTGCTGGGGTTGCCATGAAAACAGGCTGCGCTGCTGCTGCGCCCAATCGCTGTAGTTGCTGAAATTGTTGCTGCTGCTGTTGCTGCTGATTCGCGGCAATAGCGGCGGCAATTTGCTGCTGAAATATTTCCTGGAAGCTCGCATTGGTCGCCTGAGCTGTTGCAGAAGCAGCCGCTGCAGCAGCGACAGCTGCAGCTTTTTGTTGCTGCTGCAATTGCAGCTGTTGCTGTTGCTGCTGCTTAATAAGTATCTCTTGCAGGTCTGCGGCAGTCATCAAGTTAAACGGGTTCGCAGTGGCAGCAGCACTACCGGCAGCCACCGCCGACGTTGCCGTTGTTGTAGTCGCTGTTGTAAACTGTTGTAACTTGAAGACAGTGCCATTGAGGAAATATTGTGCGGCTGCGGCCTGTGCTGCTTGCGCGGAGGTCGCTGCCGCTGCGGCAGCCGCTGCAGGACTGGCATTTTTAGCCGCCGCAGCAACATTGTTCAACTGCATTATATTGGCACCATTGGTGGCCGCCAACAGCTGTGGCAATTGGACTAGATTTGGCAGTTGGACTGCGGGTAGTTGATAAAGCGTTTGTGCTGTCGTAGGCGCAGCTGTTGTTGTGGTTGGAGCAGCCGCACTTACAACCGGAGCCAATTTCGGCGGAGAGACAGTTTGCTTCAGCTGTGTAGGCGCCGCTGGTGATTGTGTATTTGTTGCTTGAGTAGGCAAACGTATGGCAGTGAGTAAAACGGCTGGCTGATTTGCGGTTACCTGTGTTGTGGTTTGGGCCTGTGGAGCGCCTGTTGCCGCTGCTTGTTTCGCTGCAGCCGCTTCGGCTTTTGCTGCCGCCTGTTGTTGTTGCTGCTGCAATTGCTGTTGTTTCATTTCAGGCGTACGCGGCGCGATGGCGACATGCTTCTTCGCTGGTGATTTCCCATTGCCGCCATGGTAGTTACCCGAGGCGGACGGTGTTTTCCGTAAATTTGGCGCAACCTGTGCGATTTTGGTGGGTTTACTGCGTTCGATCTTTTTCAATGCGGGCACTGGCATCGGTGCCATTGCAGCAGCGGGCGTGAGTGAAATGAGACCTCCTGCGCCGGAGCCTGAAGATACAAATGTGGATGACGCTGGCCCATTAGAAGTCGATGTTGGTGGTGGCGGTGGTGCTATTATATTACTATTTAATGATGACGTCGACGTAGATGATGGTGATGATGTTGGAACTAAAGTTGGCTTTTGTGTGGTAACACTACTGCTACTACTTGCGCCACCACTATTGTGGCTGTTATTTTCCTTTAACTGCTCCAAAATGTTGAAATATTTATTCAATGATGCCGTAGTGGCAGGTGCGCTCATCGTTAGCGATGTTGTGTTCAGAGCGGCGCTTGCTGAGCTACATGCCGCGATCAATACATCCATATTGCGCTTGGCAATGTTATTTTGATGGATTTGCGATTTCATTTGTGACTTGAAGTAACCAGTGATTTTCGTTTGCGACTCTTCCAAAGCGGCCGCTTTCAGTCTTTTTGCAGCGCTAGCAGCCCCACAAGCAGTATTGGCTGCGGCCGCGGAAACACCACTTGATGCACTTTCAGCAATGCTATTTCGTGCTTTTTTACCTGAGCTATTATCCGCGGATGTCACGGTAGCAGCGCCACGTTTTTTATTGTATTGTGTGGTGCTTGATGTGTTTGATGATGCTGTAGTACTACTACTTGGCGCAGTATTCCATGGCCATTGTAGTGTAGGCAGTCCATTACGTGTTGTGGCAGTGTTATTATTCTTCTGATGTTGTAGTTGTTGCTGTATTTGTTTTATTTTGGCAGTGTTGTTGCTATTATTATTAGTATTATTATTGCTATTCGTTCCAGCGACCGTGTGTGTATGAACATTTGTGCCACTACTTGAAGCATTAACGCTTCCATTCGCACTTTGTGAACTGTTGGCGCTACTACTCGCCGATGGCAAAATGGTTGTCTGTGGAGGCATGATTCGATGGCTTTCTATGTAGTTCTTACCCCCCGCTTTGGCGGGCGAATTACTATGCTGATCGTCGCCACTTATTGAGTGTTGGCTAAATGGTGAACCCGGCTCTGAAGCATCTTCACTGGAACCAGTGCTGGAGTCTGTGCTGCTCAGTGATATCACGACACCACTGAAATTAAAATGCAAAAGAAAAAATAACATTTAGTACAAATTGCAAACTTTATATAGGTACGACAATATAATACAGGTTGGCTACGCCCGTTCACTGTACACTCACACACCCATCACTCATTGTGGCACGGAAAGCATGAACTTATCAAATCATACTTTCTTTCACACTACTTCTTGTTAGAATTTTAGTTTGTTTTCATTAACAATTTGTTTTGTTTTGCTATGCGAACACACTTTTGTACAAAATAACTTTTTACTTTTTTATTGCTTTTCCCCCAAGCCATTTGCCCGCGAGTGTTTACAAACAGCTGATTTTGTGCTTGGTCCAACGCAACTGTAGATGGCGCTCACATATAGACAATAAAAACAGCTCACAACAGATGCCGCTCAACGAATTTCCTATTGGAAATCGATAAAACGAAATGTACAGAAATCTCATGTAAAATAAATTATAAAGCAGCAAGTTTATTTTTTTTAAGTAACGGAAGGTAATTGGAATGATACCATGTTGTGGTACTTATGAAAAACTTTGTTAATATGTAATTGGAGCTGAGACCAACTTTTATAAGGCAATTAAATTGAATTTTGCAAAAAAAAAAAAAATTATTAATTCCTCTGTAACGCTCGTCGATAAGTTTTGTTGGTAAGAGCAATCGAAAGCACAACTTCGATTCAGCGTTCGTTTCTTAACATCATTAAGGATGACATCAGAGCATCCCAAAAATTCCACCGGAAATAAATCAGAAGTGGCCTAGAGATACTTTTACAAAGTTGAAAATCCGTCAAAGTGATATAAATACGTACATAAACATATAGGCATTTTGCAGATTTGACGAAATTGAGTATAGAAACGTAAAGGACTTGTCAAGCTCAGAGAGAGTGAACAGAGGCGAGAGATAAAAGATACTTGTATTTATGTAAACATTTCCAAACTTAGATACAACAACAACGCGATAAATATTGGAATGTTAATGAAAGCGATGATAATGACGGTGTGAGGGAAGAACGAAGGGCAAAGGCAGCTGCAAACTATAGAAACGATGTGAAGTGAAAAAGTAAAAATTAAATGTAGGTACCTACGTATATTTTTTTTAACATATTTGTATGTATTCATATTAATACACATGTAAAGAAACAGGCTTCAAGAGGAGGGTCCTTTTGAGAATGTAATGAAAAATAAAGTCAGTTTATGTTAATGCCATTTCTACATCATGCTCTCATAGTAGTAGTAGTATTTGTGATGTTGCATGAGCAATATCAACAACAGTACAACGGCAATAGTGATAAGAAAAGTAAGAAAGAATGTTAAGTAGAGACGCTGCCGTTAGACGTCGGTCGATAAACGCCGACATGAGAGCGTGCGACGTTAAACTGCTGATGGGCGCACGAGTCACCACACGACAACGTGGAACGAAGCGACCAAACAACCAAACGGCCAACGAATGACGATGTGTCGACGACGAAAGTAACATTGTTGGGGATGGTGGTGTTGAATGGTATGTATATGTGTACATGTGTATACAAAATATGAAAACAAGAAATAAAAATAGTGCAATAAAAACAAAAGCAAAAACATACATACATACGTACGTACAGACAGCAGAGAGTGGAAAAAAATGAAATGAGAAAAAATGCTGGCTCAGCAGAGGAATATATTTTGTTATGAACTTGCTGGGATGGCAGAAGTGGTTGCTGCATACATAGAAGGCAACAGCTTATGACTGCTACCAAAATACCAACAACATTAACCATACTAGTAGAAATAGAGAAGTAAGACGGTAATGTTTATATGTCGTGCTGAGGATAGTCCAGCCGCAGTGGCAATCACGGGGGCTACCGATTCCACGAGTATAAATAAAATGTGGAAAAAAGCACAAAGCCTTAGCTTCTAATGCGGTATAAAGTGTTGGGCCGACAAAAGTCGATGCGTGTGAGTTGCGGTCGTCCGAGTGTCAGGTATTTAAAGCGGAGTTGCTAGAATTAATGTGAAGCGTCTAGCAAAGGCGATCGAAGACGATTAGATCGCCGCAAACGATGTACATACATACACACATACGTTAAGAATACATACACATGTAGACTAGAATCACAAAAGCTACACAACAAAAACAACAATTATTTTTTTCAAATACCCTCCAGTCAGGTTCTTTATTGGTCTTTCAAATAAATAATTTTTTTTTATTATGGATTTTATTATTGTAGTTGAATCGTTTATCGCCTCGCTGCAGTCTTACAGCACGCGCAAACACATTTATATCTATTGTCTTTGTCTTGTTGTTGTATTCCTAATTTTCTAGCAACCTCAGCATATTTCCACTTCACCCATATACATATGAACATATATACAATATAATTTACCCTATGCCCCAAAGTGTAATGTCGAGTACACACCGACACACACACATACCGTGCAAACACTGGCGCTGATTTGTTGTTTGTGTGCATTTTTTGGTAAATTGCACATTTCCATCTTTGTTGGCTTCTAATTTTTTCTCTGTATAATCCATGGGAAGGAAGGTCGGGTCTTTATACCGGAACGACCCGGATTTTTATCCGGCCAAGGACTGTCACTCCCGTAACATTCCCCAAAAAGTGTTTGGGGAATATTTTTCAGGTTACAGCAACAACAACAACAAAACAACAACAACAACCACCCATAGTAAACAACGAATAGCTCGAATTGCCTCGCGAGACCCTATATATCCTGCATGCAATAGGCACATACTGGTCACTATTCATCTCCTTACGTGCCCACTATTACCCGCTCATATAACAACTTTCTCCCTTTGGTTGGAAACCCGTCGGAAGAGCTCCAATGGCCGCTTAACTGCTTTATCTGCACTTCTTCTATGATATTATATTAAAAATGTGTCACAAAATTTCAGACTTTGCTTACGCTCCAGAATGATTTACAATTGACTTCCCTAATAAGATCCAGTTCAAAATTAATCAAAGGATGTTGGGTCTTGAAAGACTATATATAGTTGCTGTGGTAACCAAAAAAAAAATATATACGCCAAAAAGCTTTTCGAAGAATATTGCGTGAGTAACAGTCCTTAGCGTCTTATGACAGGCATGCCTTGCCGCGGGTAAATTCTTGAACCGCTAACCTGTAGGAAGTGATGACAACGGCCTCTTTGGTGAGTAAGGCACAAATACAAAATCACATTTCTCTGGAATTGTTGCGCTTAAATTATTTCCTAATTTTTGGATTTCTTATGGAACTGTTTCGGACCATACACTTTTGGAAATAGTGAAAAAATTACAACGTTTTAAGCGCTAGAAGTTATAGCTGATCTTTCGGGAACCACCACGTTTCCTCATCAGATTTCTTTTTCCAGACACCTTTGTTCGAATGGGATTCGAACTTGGAATGCCCACAGTACGAGCCAATAGTTATCTATTCCATTAAGCTACATGTGTGCCGCTTTTACTCATTGTTGTTGTCCACTTTTCCTTTTACCTATATATCCACGATAGACTGCTCAGAATTTTCCAACAAATTTTCGAAGGCAACACCCTTTTTATTATTGGAAAATTTCATTCGAAAAGCAAAACTCTTCCGTCATTCCTAGAGGCTTTCTCAGGTCATTGTTCCGTTGAATTGTTTTTGGGTTTTTTTCTATGGCACTGTGTTTTTAGGAGAGTTTTTTTTTTAATATTTTGAAATACAGAAACTTTCTCAAAAATCTCAAATATTATTTAAAAAGTTTACCTTTCAGTTAATGTTTGGTTTAATGTATTTATTCCCTTTAATCTCGCTTTCTTAGCTGGCGTTGGTGATTTTTATAATTTATTCATTTTTAGACCGCCGAAGTTGATTAACATTTTTAAATAGTATTTCAAAATTTTTTTTAATTTACATGTTTCCATAGTTTTTATATGAAAATTTAGTCAGCACAGTATTTTCCCTGCATTAGTCTTATACGCCAAACATCACTAAATTTAAAGGAAAATTTATTAATAATTTAAACACGTACATACATAATTATATAAAATAAAATACACTCATTTATTTATACTTCGCGATTTAGAAGCACTTAAAATCGCTTTTTTATTATATTCAACACAATTATGCACTATTTGTTGTTGTTGTTGTTGTTGCTGCTTTGCGTGGGAATGATTGCTTTTTTTTCCTCACTGAATAATAAATTCACTATATTTTTTCTTTACTTCATTGTTTTACAAGTTTTTCAGCCATGCAATTGACGTTATAGTTGCGGTTAGTTGTTGTTTTACTTAAGTTGTGGTATTTGGTTTATTTTTTTTTTTAATTCATTGTTCCAATTACACTGCCATATCTTCAATTTTATAACTGACTGCTAAAAGCTTGAGCATAAAATTGTATTAACTGATATATACATATGTATGTATGTATGTATGTATGTATATTTTCCCACATTGTCACGCCATTTGCGCACACTGAACACACAAACAAACGCACGCACAATTTTTCAATTTTCTAACGTTGAAATTATTTATTTTTATACACTTTATTTTAATTTTAATTATATTCTCTTCTTTTTTGTGTTTTTTTATCTTTCTTTTTATACAGACTTTAAATTAAATTTTAAATTTTATGCAATTTATTGCTGTGTTGCGCTTTATTACTTATTATTAGCATTTAAATTTGTTGCCGCTGGTTTATGTTGTTTGTTGTTGTTAATTTTATTGCTATTGCTTTTGTTTTTTGTTGTTGTTTGTGCACACATGGAATCAAGATGCATAAATTATGCAACCGGCGCATGCACTCCACATCTATATGTATGTATGTATGTATGTATGTATGACTTACAAGCAGACAGACGATGTCATGATATGTATGTATGTACGGACACATGTAAATATATTACATTAAGTACATATGTACATATATTTATTGAGTGTAGTACGAGCTCGATTTATAACGGGCATAAAAAAATAAAAATAAATATCTGACTATTGGCCGACGGAAGCGGAAGTCGTTAAGTTCTTTTGCACTCGGCTTTTATTAACATA